TGACACAATTATATGCATGACTAGCATACTGTCTTTGCGTGAGTGACACACTTATATGCGTAAGTAACACTGCTTTTGTGTTTTGCACACATTTATATGCATAACTCACACACTGCTTTTGTGTTTTTCACACATTTATATGCATAACTCACACATAACCTTTTTACTCACTGCCAGCAAAAACAAAGCAGTTTCATGTGTTATCAACACAATGTACCAACACATATTTTATGTGTTGGTAACACATGAAATTTTGTACCTCGGTGGACCATTACTCGTGGAATTTGACCCACAGAGAAGATTGGCGCGCCACGATGTGAACCTCAATTTACCAAAAATTACTTGCCCGGCACCGGCCACCACGACCCGCCTCTCCTCCTCATGCACGCCCAGGTTGTTGCTGATTCGAACATGTTATCTGAATCTATATCTGACCAATTAATCTATCACTCGGATTTGCTCTACCCATATGAGGGGTGGGGGGAAGAATTGCAATTGCAATTGACAAAGTAAAAGGGATAATACTAGCTATGGATTTCTATTCGGCAGGATATACGTATTTGTTTATACGTGCTCATTAAACAAACCCATCTCTTGAACTCGTGACTCCCGACAGTGTCAGACATGCGGATTCAAAACAACTTTCTCGCCATTTTTCAAGTACATTATTGTACGGGACTGTTTTCGTTTTTCCAGCGGCTGATCACACAGGACGTTGAAGTTACCTGTTCAAGCGTCACTACAGGGGAAGATTAGGGGCGTTTTCAAAGACAAATAGCCAAGCAGGAAGTAATAATGTCATATGCGACCGGCCCCAAAACTGTTGTTTTCATTGTAATAATGATTTTTCTTTCCCGTTAAGGTGCAAATATAGATATAATTATAGAGACCAGGTTAGGATGTTGCCGGAAACACGTAGCTACATGTATCCATCCATGGCGGCTATAGAGGAGATATTTTGATATAACTAAGGGCTAGAACAAATGAATTAATATTGGAAGATACCACTACAAGGTATCGGGCATTTTAGCCCGTGGATATATTTATCGTTGGGCCAGGCCATGATCATGGCTTGTCTAAGGAAGATAAATGGGCTTTGGGACTGCACCGCTCGACACGAATTGCGATGGGACCTTATAAGTTCGTGCAAAGATTGGGCGTCTCTCTGGCTTGGATTCTCTGATATCGGTTCTCCGAGTAGGTGCCTAGAATGACCCCATGTAGCTCGGGGAGAGCAAGAGGTAACCCGAGGCAGTGACCGAGTTACGCAGTTGAGGGGATCGCACCACTTATCAAAGCTTGATTCCCGGACCGAAGGAGTCGCGTTCTGATAGTTCGGTTGCAACGTTACAGTTCATTACACTAGGTTCAACAGAACTTCTCGATCGCTAAGTTCCTTCCATATGTGTATTGTTTGGCCGAATCGAATACGAGCGTCCCGGAAAACCATAACTAAATCTACCAAAATCAGACTCCCAGGATCTAATAGATCATCGGACAGCTCTCCATCCCTGGCTTCCGATAAAAATAACATCCTCGAATTGTCTAAACTAGGCAGCTGATGTTGACATAGTCACTGATCAGTAAGGTTTAAAGTTAACTCATTGCATGCAAGATCTAACGGCGAGCCTATGGTTAATTTTTTTCTTCACCAAGTATCACCCGTAAGGAAGGAGAGAAGGTCGGGAGTTTGCACATTGGTTAGGTTCACTTATATATCTCCTAATAAAGGAACCTCACCCGTGAGCTTGGTTCGACGTTTCCTCGACGTGGCATGTCATACATACCCTGACATTTTATCACACGTGTGTCGTCGAGTATTCATCAGACGTCAGAAGGATATTCGCGTGATACCTGGCACTATGTACTAGAGTATGTAAAGAGAAGTACACATTTACAACTCGTATAGATCTATTTTTGTATGGGTAGTGCAGGTACAGCTGGGGAAGCCTATACCCGGAGTGTCCGCGACATTCAGTTTGATGATTACTAATACAATTAAGTACTGCTTCAAGTAATTAAAATAAATAGGATAATGCCAAGGGATCTGAGACTATTTCCCTATTATTTATATGCTAACCAGTTATGGAGTAAATGTGATAGATCTCCTTTCTAATATGGTAATAATGAACGATTTGGAGTAAAGAATTAACCGATTAGGCAATAAAAAGAGGCGACATTCAGTGGGCTCACCACCAAAAATGTACCAACTTTAAAGTCGAACCACACCTCAACCACAACACCTAAATTAATTATCTCTCTATAGAACTGTAGAGAAGAGGCAGTAGGATTATTCTATAGATAGAAAAGGAATTTAGGGGTTGTGGTGGTCGAGTAGTTGACGCTAGAAATCGGGGCTAAAGTGCTCCGGATATAGGCTTCCCCAGCTGTACCCTATGCAACAAACAAAATCCCCGGGTACATACGTGCCGAGCGATCCGCTGCCACAGTGGCGGGACCAATTGTGGTGCTCTCGGAGGTGAGACGGGTTTGGGAAACTATTCGCCGGTTGGTTAAGACGAAGTGCGAAAAGAAGGATTGCAATTTGGACATGTACTTTCTGGACGAATCCCTTTGAACATCAATGTCAGGGGCAAGGCAAGAGTAATCAATCTGGCATTGATTCCTGCACTTTTGAAGCATCCTGATCGATATCCTGCATATGGGATGAATGGGTGGGGATAATCCCTCTCGGAAACAAGCTTATGTCAATCAACTAGTTTGTTGCTTGTATCGTCCAGAGTAATCCATTGGCACCAGCTGCCCTGGCGATTAACCAGTAATTAGCGCGGTGATTTTATTTACTAACCCGTACGTTTCCTTCTCGCTTTGTTAATGTTTCCTTCTAGCGGATCTCTCATTAGGTTCTATTTTCGAAGGGAAAAAAGAAAAAAAACTTCCTAGCTTTCCCCTCGTTCCCGTAGCGGAGGCGCCGAGAAAAAGCTAGACTGGGAACTCTTCGGGTCTCAGAATATCCCATGTCTAAGAATCGAGAATTGAATCACCAACTCAGTCAGTAAGACTTCTGCGGTTCGAAAGCTCGCCAATTACTCTATTCGCTTCTGTAAGTGAGCTTCCGGTTTAGACATACATACGCGGCTGGGCTAAGGATGGCTTTTTTTTAATATGTACATGTAGCCATGAGCTGGCGGTTGCTGGTTGAGTGAAATTTCGTGACTTGGTTGATCCTGTTGTACTCTAGACTGATAGATTTCAGTCAGCCGCTCGGTGTAAAAATGTGGAATCTTTCGAGCTCAACAAAGCTTAAGACTTCCGAGAACGAGTGTTCGGCTCCCTCTCGAGTGATCTCCGGTGCATTGATCTGGACGGTACGGCGTGTTCCGTCTGACATCTCACTACGACCCGGCCGCCGAGATATGCCGAGAAAATCATGCGGGTCTTTCACGACTTTCTTGAAGCCAGCCTTTTCAGCCTGACTTTCAGCTGAAGGGTAAAAACCTTATGTAAATTGTGGAAAACCGCCTATCGCAGCCACAAAACCTACAATCTACGCTTCATTGGGTGATGCCAACGTCACGCAAGCAGCCAGCGAAGACAAGAAGATCCTACATGTCAGTCAATGCAGGGTGGTGGGCGAGCAGAGCAGGAATGTAGAGGGATCTGGGATGAGCAAAGTACTCACGAGGTTGAGTACATATGTACCGTACATAGAGTAACAAATATGATACAGGAATCCATCAGCCATCGTTGTGATTGATACTCACCCATTCGTTCTGCAAGTTCTGCAAGTGCAATTCTTTCGATCGGTAGTATGCGAGTTTGCATTGGAGGTTCTTGGCTGGGATAGGGCTGCTGTTTGACGATTGGTAGAAGTAGCGAGGTTATCAGCCGCAGAGCTCGTATAGGATAATTTTAGTAAGGCGTTTGACCTGAAGTGGTAATTCACGATGATTAGGACTCCGATCTGGGAACCCCGCACGAGCGATGTCTCTTGAGAATTGAGTACCCTCCTACAGCACGCATGGGATATGGCTTGGGCTTGGATTGAATCGCAAGAAACGAAAGAGGAGAAACATGGCGTAAAGCGTCAGGCAACTACATGTATGTGCTCTATTAGCTAGAGTACATGTACCTACCGGCCACCTACCTACTTGCACGAGGACGCGGCTTCAACTTGACTGGCACAAATGCAAGGGCCCATGCTAAGGATATCTAGAGTAGATCTAAATTAAAAGTAATACCTGGACTGCTACAGAGCAGGTATGTCAAGTTGAGTACTTATGTACAAGTACAAGCTATGTAGTTATCCCTTAGGTCGGTAAGGAAGACTGGAACGAGGTAAGATTTCCTCTGGGTCCTGATCAGTGTCTGGAACAACACTTTTGGTGTGTACCTGCGTACGTGTTGTGTGTGGAGTGTAGGGCTTTCTTCAGCCGCATGGCTTTTGATTTTTCCCCTTTCAATTTGTGTGCCTAGCCCAAAGTGCAACAAAATACCGTGAAGGTTTTGATTTTGCTAATAACCAGCTGTAGAATACTCTAAAGTCTACGGTCCTGGGTGGTTCACAACCATGCCATGCCATGCCATGCCATCCCATGCCATGCATGTAGCTAGCCTAGCTAAAGTACCCACAACTTTATCTCTACCTACAGTAGCCACTGTACGTACCAAGCTACTCCGAAAGAATGTCGTATGCTAAATTGTAGAGGCGTACAAACGCCAACCCAGAACTGTAGCTGCAAGCCATCTTAGACTAGCGGAATCTAACCGTCATGTGTCCGAGAAGCGGTAAGACCAGAGTTGTGCATCCTTAATTTTGCGTTTTGACTCAGCTCGAAATAAACTGTCTTTATCTCTGATCCACCCGTTGTCCTGTCTATTAAACCCCTCGAGTTTCCCTACTTAATGCTCCTCTTCCCCTCTCATCCTTATCCTCCTCATCATCCCACCAACACTCGTTCTCGCTCAGACTCAATCCAATTGACGAAAGCACTCTTCAGCATACGAATAATCACTATACGATATCGCTATCGTTAATCATGGTCAGAATTGGATCTCTTCTTCTGCTCTTCGGAGCTGCCATTGCTTCCGTTGCTGCTCAACAATGCGGTACTCAGAACGGTAACAGGGTTTGTGCCGCCGGACAGTGCTGCAGTCAGTACGGATGGTTAGTCCCCCCGTTCTCGGAGTTCCATTTGTATTTTTAGGATATTACTGCCTCTTGGCATCTGGTTATATATGTGTCATATCCTGTTACTTGCCGATATTTTAAGCCTTCATGATAGTTGTGCATCCTATATACTGACCTTTTCCCATTGCACAGGTGTGACACCAGTGCTGCTCACTGCAATCCCGCAAACTGCCAACGTGCCTTCAGTGGTGCTGGATCGTCTTGTGTAATTCCCCCACCATATACATTTCGCTGTTATCTCTTCTTCCTCATACTTACTTTGAACGATGAATAGGCTGGATCGGGATCAGGATCAGGAGGCACCACCACCTCTACAACTCCTACCAGCCCCCCTCCAAGTGGCAGTACTGGTATTGGCAACAATGTCCCCCACATCGACATTTGTGGTGCTGGCAGCGGTGGCATTAGCTGCCCAGGCGCCGGTATTGGAGGCTTCTTTTATCGCTGCTGCGTAAGTTACACAAGGACCTTCGGCATAAATTGAGATAGGGAAAGCTAAGACATGTTGAATTAAGTCTGGAAATGGTCACTGTGGACCTAAGAACACTGCAAGTCTCAATCATCCCTTGCATCGGAATATCAAATACTGATTATGTTAGGAACAATCTCAATACGATTATTGCGGTACTTCACATTGCCAGCCTGGTTACGGTGCCTGTGATCCCACCCGTTCTCTTCCTCCTAATCCTCCGGGACCTCCTGGTACTGCTGTTGGTCAGGAAAACTGCGGACCAATCGTTAACAAAAGATGTCCCTCCGGACAATGCTGTTCCGGATGTGAGTTTAATTCAATATTTGACTTGGAATTAGAGAATAGCTACTAACTCTTCATGATAGCCAACTACTGTGGCACTGGACCTGATTTCTGTGGCGCTGCCAACTGGTGTCAGGTCAACTGGGGCGAGTGCCACAGATAAATTGATATTTTTGCTACCGGATCCCTGTAATGGTCTGAGGCCTCTTGAAGGTATAATCGTGAAACGATTCTAATGATTTTCATGCTTTCATAATATCTCCTATAAGCATAGCTACTTAGTGCACATGTAATTCCTCAAAATTAAAAATATCTTTGCTGCTTATATAATTATTCATTGAATATCACTCGGGGAACATTCTGCATTTCATGTGGGGTATCAGCTGGGGGGTTTAGTGTAACGTCAAGTGAATTTACGGCAAAGACCCTAAGCTGTCATTCAGATCGGTCGGTACTGGTGAAGCGCACGAGCGGCAAAGGCAATACAGTGCTCTACGTACATACATTAGAGTTTATTAGAATACGTGGTGCGACTAGCTTGACATTCCACCCTGCGCAAACGAATCTAAAAAGAAAATCAGGTACCATGCATATACTACAAAACTAAAAATATAAGCACTACATAGTACTTATTACTAATAGCAAGATTTAGAGGTATCTCTCAAGATTAAGGGATTCAGGCTTGATATTGACCTTGCGTGTTCGGTAAAAATACAGATTTTTACCGCTGTCTAGAAGGGAGTAGGGGGACCTTTAAGGGTGGAAGCTCTGTAGAACCAGATGACCATATTTCACAATCGACTAATAAGGTTCCCAAACTTCAACATCTGGTCCAGCCGCGTGATATGCGGTGGACTGTGACGTTGAGTGTTTCGATTCAAAAATACTAAATGAATAGGAAGACAGTGGGGGCTGATAACTGGCTACTGCAGTGGCATCCAGCGACTTTTAGTCGTTCAATTACGACTAGAGGGCGTGGAACTGAGATAATTAAGGTAGGCCGGCGTTAAGGCTATTTTCTACATTCAGAAGAATTAACTAATTCCAATTCCTTCAAGCCTCCGCTGTTGCACTTGTAAAAGGCTAGCCAGAAATCACAAAAAGAACTGCCTGGGGCCAGGGTTAGAGTAGTGTTGGTGACAATCTAAATTAGTCCAATTAGTAGAACTTGATAAAACGATACTGGGCTGATAATAAATGATCGATCTGATAAGATTGATCTAGATGCTTTGATTGTACTTTGGACGACCATCCTCCAACGTCGGTCATTCGGGACGCAGATATTCTCCACGTTTACACAAAAACTTTATCATTATCACTAATTACATTATTTACAGGCGTATCCTTCCTTATTCATAGTAAACTACCCTGGTCACTTTAGTTCTTTGTCTCCACACCCTCGTCATGTTGCCTTCCGGTGCGTTCATGGCTACCAATAACAACACCACCGTAGTCGTTCTTCTCATCCGCTTCCTTCAAGTTGATATCCTTCGTGATGGCAATGAAGCCCAATGGGACAAACAAAAGAATCAATGCAACCATAAGCTGGATGCGCATGACGTCATCGTATGCACGATTGATTCCGGTTCTCTCAACAGAACCCATGAGGTATGTAGAACTGGCTACGACGAAGTTATCCCTGATGGAAGCAATTTCGGTAGCGTTGGAGTTGGGAAGGTGGAGTGCTAACTTTTGAGGGAGAAGGTCTAGGAGCTGTTAGCGGGTTGTTCTTATTCCTGGAGGGTATGAGGGAGAATTACTGGTCCAGATACCACCGGAGATGGAGTCTCCAACTGCTCCGCCGACAGAGTATCCTGTTGCAAGAAGCGCGGTGACGGAAGCGACGTCTTTTCAATTACCTTTAGTTTTTGTTCATCCCTCCTGGGCTTTATGGCCAAAAGTGGAGACTAACCTCTGTGCTTAACAGCTGCCTGTACACCGACCTGAATAACGTTCAACAAACCGGTACCGATACCAAAGATAACCTGTCCCATCACCAATTGCGCAGTGCTGGAATCAATGTCTCTATATCTGAACATGAGACCACCACCGATAATTTTGATGCAGATACCTGCCACTACAACCCACTTGTAGTTACCAGTATATCGGACGGCAAAGGCAATAATGAGACCTGATGCTGTAGAGGCGAAACTGGACGCAAGGACGATGTTGGTGGCCGCCTTATAGGAGTGGCCACGAACAACCACGAGGTATGAGTAGAAGTATGGCTGGTAAATGTAGAATGCACAGAAGGCAAAGAAAACAACTATTTTTTTCCAGGGTTAGAATTGGTTTACTGACTACAGGATTGGTCACTCACCACCGCAACCTCCAAGGACGGTTCTATCTTTGAGGAGATCCAGGGAAAGAATTGGTGTCTTTGCAAAGTATACCTCCCAAATAGGGAACGCAATCAAGCAGATGACACCGACAACCAACATGACAATGATGTGGGAGCTGGCCCACTTGTCAGGGTACCTAGCTGCCAACGTCATGGGCAACAACACCAGTGTAAGACCGGCGGTGAACAAGGTGAGACCGAGGATATCGAGCTGTGAAAACAAAGCAATGGGAGCCCGTAGCAAGGCACTGTTCTTGTCTTTGTTGGAGATGACACCAGCTTTGGACGCTTTGCGCTGATGGTATCCGAGAGAGATGAGGAGGGGAATCGCACAGGCGGGAATGATGATGGCATACATTCCGTATCCCCAACGCCAGGTGCTATCCCTCAAGACGCGCTCGACAATGGGGGCTCCGCACCATGTGGTGAAGAGGAAGGGGGCCAAGGGAAGAGCGTTGAAAAGAGCACGCCATTTAAGGTTGGTGGTATCTGAATGTCAATCATGTTAAAAAGTGTCTCCTCAGCAAAGTATAGAGTGTCAAAGACTTGCCAGCTGCAAAAATCTGCTGCATGAACTGAATACCGACTTGGCCGGCGACATAGAAGATTTGAGCTGCAGCAAATGTTCCTATGTCCTGCGAAGCGGCCTCAAGGATAAAACCAAGAGTGAGCAAGACGACGGAGAAGGTGAAAGCTTCAAAACGACTATACACCGCCAATAAGCTACTACAATATCATAAGATTGGGGGGAGAAATATACCCAAAAACATCGGCAATCTTTGCAACTGGCGGCTTCGTTACAGCATACATAATATTCTGTACGGTACCAATAGTCGCAAGGAGAGAGTGTGCTCCGAATGTTGAAGTTGCCATAGGCTGGTAGGAGTAGATGGTCTGGGAATCCAAAGATACCGCGACAGCTAACAGCATGATACCCGCCCATGCGGTCCACAGGCCTACTTTCGACCATGCCAGTGTCACTCCTTCGATTTTCGCGACACCTGCAGTTTTCTCGATGGAGGCGGTGTCACTGTTGTTAGTGATAGCCTCAGCTACAGGTTCTTTCTTCTCCGACTCGCCGTGCATCTTGGTGTTGTATTGTCAAATTCAGAGACTTGGAAGGAGAGCTACTGACGAGAGGATACGAAGCTCTGGTGCGGTGAGGGGTACCTGATATATAAACTCTCCCCACCGCAGCAGAGGATGTTTTCTCTGCTTGCAGCCTCGGGTGGCCATGGTCGTAGGTACTACTCATGCATTGGTCGCCCCATGCACCCCCGGTTTGAGCAGGTAGTATGTACTCTCTAGGTCTAAGATTATGCAGGGAAGATTATTTAGACTTCGAAGCTCTCCACGCGCTTTTTTTTACGTGCCGAGCCACCTTATTTCGCAATCCACTCCTCTTTACGGCAGTCAGTCTTGCGACTCAATCTCGAATTTCCTTCCAAGCTTTCAATATTCCAAATGGTCACCAGACTCTTTCTCCACAGAGAGGCGCATAGCGTTGGGAACTTGCAAGCTACTCCTCTCCCATTGATGTACACACATAGGTACTAAATTACCAACTTACAATTGATCGGGGCGAATTTTAAACAAAATCGCCAGCTTTTACGGTCTTTGGCGTAGCAGAGCTAGGCAGAAGAAAAAACAAGGATAAAGTTATCATCGGATCAGATTGTGTGCCTGCCAACTAGCGCCCTTGATCTCAGTTGTCAGAAATCGCAAGCGAGATGGGGGCGCAAATTAGCAACACCCCTCCAACATCCCACTTACGGACTCCGGTTTTTTATCGGATCTTGCGATTAGATTGTTGCGCTAGATCATATCAGATGAGATTACGAGAGATGGCGTCGTTCTCGTGATGATAACCATGCCGTGCCCCACTTTACCCACGTTAACTTGCAGGGGACGAGCGAGGTGGTGTGGTTTCCTGGGTCTGCTAGGTACTCTTGGCCTGCGGCATGATGGATGGAAATTCGCGCAGCTCCTATCCTTTTTTGTAGACCGATACAAACTGAAAATTTTCTTCTTCTCGACCAATTGAGGATGTGGCGGGTTGCTGTTTGGATTGCTGAGCACGTTTTTTCTAGTCTCGTCCCAGGCCCTTGGTTTAAAAAAATTGTCTGTGCCCCAATTCAGCGATCCTTTCCAGTCAAGTGGCCGGTATCCTAGTAAATGATTTGAATGGGGTGTTGGTTTTACATAAGTGGAGCGTTACAGCAAGTTACGCATGGGAAGGATCTTATCTAGGCAGAGGTGACTCTCTATTTATAATTGTCACGCTCTGGAACAACCGGAAATGCACAGCTGTGGGTTATCAAATTATAGGTGAGTATGACAGGGGGTAGACTACACATTTAAGACCCATTTCTAGACATGCTTTACAAGCTTCAGCATGCCGGAAAACACCCGAATGATACTCTTGAACAAATTTGAACGATCGTATGATGACACCGGTACGTCCGGGCTTTTTTAGGTTTACGGTACATGCAGTTATGAGGATGTTTGTAGTACCGTATTGAGCCTGGTTAACATGTTTTCGTAAATACCATGGTTATTGTGCCACAAATTTCTTTGTTACTTGGGGCTATGCCCTTTAATTTTGAAGAGTATGGGGGGTTGGGAATCGTGTTTGGTATTGATGCTGGTGGGTACGAGTGAGTGGGGCCGGGTCATTCATGCCTAGGCCTATTATGGTACCGGTAATAATTGCTGACTGTTTTAACCATGCCGGATTGGATATTTACTTGATTTATTCACAAGTGATCACTCGATTTGTCTCACTATATGAGAAGAAAATATAAGGAACAAGGATGCGATAAAACTCGGCATTAGGCATGTAGATGTTCGAGACCTAGATAAGTTTCACGGTGACATACAAAGCGATAAAACGCATCTACTCCATGTCCGACTTGGAATTACGTCTGGTTGGGATATGCTCGAGAAATGTTATTTTCCTTAATTAATAAATCGCCGTTTTCCCCATATTGATAAAGTCACATTTGGGGCCTCCCCCACTCCCTTGAGGCTAAGATATATCATGGATACATGCTTATATATTCATGCACAAAAAATCATAACTCATCAGAAAGCTACATGTAGTTACAAAAGAAAATCCTAAAAACCCCAAGACCCCCAAAACTAAAAATTATATATCTGTTTGAGATACTTATTAAGAACTCCAAAACTCCCCCATCCTTCCGGTGTAAATAAGGACTCCCGCACCCCGCCGCTCCGTTTACGGATATGTCACCCGTCATCATATTTTAGGAAGAACCGTTATCTCGTAGGATTCAAACTCTTCTCTTCTTCTTCCTTCTCGATTCTCTCTCCTTCCCCATTCTCGATCCTCCCGATCCTCTCTCATTCTTTCATCACGGTCCCGGGTTCCCTCACCACCTGTTTCTCCCTCGCCATCTACTTGCCCCTGACTTCCTTCACCGCGAACAGAACCACTTGCATCAGCCCCTTCCTCTCGATACCCCCCATTTCCATCTTCAGCCCCACCACCATGCACTGACCCATTGATTCCTCGATATGAAATTTCACCATCCGTCACTACAATTACGTGTTTCATCAACGAACACTGTCTCGGATTCGGCGATTTGAAGATCTCGTTGATCTCTTCTAACGTTCTGTTCTTCGTCTCAACAAAACTGTTTTGTTACAATAAGATTAGTGAGCACGGTAACCAGATGGAAGGAGAAAAAACTTTAAGGGACGCGCGCTTACAAGAAAAAGATACAGACAAGTTCAATCACGTCCCAAACAATGAAGATGAATACGAATCCCCAGCTAATCTTGTCGATGATAGTTGCCATGCCATAGGTGTTAAAGATTGCTGCGACATTCACAAAAAAATTGTACACGCCCATACCCTTGGCCCGAGTTTCATATGACAAGCATTCTACGGGGTATAGCATCTGAAGTGGTGTATATGCGAACGAGTGCGTGATGCTAAAGAGATAGATGAACGCAATCATCGTGCGGCTTCCATCGAGATTTGTATTACTTTCCTTCCCGTAGTAGGTAGAAAGAATGAGGATAACGGTCCACCATATGACAAAGAGGCATGTTCCGATAAGAAGCATAGGACGGCGTCCTACACGATCGACGAGGAAGGCGCCTACAAATGCAACAATAAAGCAGAGTACCATAAGGATTGCGTTGAGTTTGAGCTGGGTCCGTTCGTCTGTGATGCCGATGTTTTCAAGAAGGACGGGCATGAAGTGTGTTACAGCGCCATTGCCGGACCACTGGACCTTTGTTAGAAGGGATAGCAATGGTGGAAATAATATAATGGAGAGATATACCTGAGAGAAGAAAGCCATACCGATGACACAGACCATTCTCCACCTGGCAGTGGTGGTGTTCCACAACTCGGAATAATCCCACCACCGCTTATCAGATCCCGAAATAACTATCTCTTCAAGCATCTCCTTGTACGAAAGAAGTACTATTGGTGACTTCCGGTTACCCTCGCCGTGGTACATCGTTATGACCCGAATTGCTTCTTCATTGCGGTCATTTGAAACAAGCTTCGAAAGAGTCAGCATAGATTCAATATACAAGTGTGCATGTCATAGCACATCTATTGATTGTTTGGAAAAATAAAATGAAGCATGACTTACCCAACGCGGCGTTTCAGGGCACAAAAGACACATGACGAGAAGTGATCCAGAGGCAGCGATTTGTAGCCATAATGGGATTCTCCAGGCCTGGGGCGATTTGATGGTGTCAGTTCCATACATTGCCCAACTTGCTGCAATCTATAGAAAAATAAAGGTCAGCAACAAAAAAACACTTCGTCATATACTCCCTAAAGTAATAAATTCTGTTGTCTTACCCCGCCAACAAAATACCAGGTGTTGTAAAGCCCCGTCAAGGTACCTCTCCACGCCGGATGTGCCATCTCAGCTACATAGGTCGGACCAGCCGTCGTCAAAATGGCCGCGCCGAGACCCAGTATAAATCTTCCCCCCATAAATTGGGTGGGTGTGCTTGAAGTTGCCTGGACGCATGTCCCAATGATTGTTATAAAAGCACCGGTGAATAGGCCCCATCGTCTTCCCCATCCATCTGCTATTGGGCCACAGATGAAGCAGCCACTGAAGTGTCCAATCGAATAGACCAGAAAGACTATACCTGTGCTTGATCCAAGAGTTTTCATCCCGAAGTAACTAAATCACTATGATTAGTAAGATTTCATAGTTACAAAGTCCAGGTTAATACAAACTCTTGATACTCCTTCATAGCATTAATCCCACCCATGACAGATCCATCATAGCCGTTGATAGTAGACGATAAAAATGCCACAAATAGGAAGTAATACAGCTTAAACATCGGCTTCGTCCATGGGCTCGGTTTCTGGGCCAGCAGCGCCTTCGTAAAGCCCACATGAGAAACACTTCTGATGTACTGCTGATCGCTCGAGAGTGGGGCCGCCAGACTCGGAAACGAGTCAGAGCACGAATATTGCGTTGGATCTCCCGGCCCTTTACTCATTCCTCCTGGTGATGTGACTTCGTCTTCAATACCATAATTTGAAGAAGCAGCACCGGTGGTTTGATATCGGTATTCTCTCTGTGGTGACGTTCCCCCATTAATGCTGCGGACGGATGTGTCCAGCTCCATGGCTGGATGGAGGAAAGGGTTTGCCAGCTTGATGGCAGACAGGCAGACTAACTGAAGCCTTACTTAATGGGAGGGCAGCGTCGCGCAATTATTCGAAATGTATTTCCCGTCAACCTGGCATACGGTTGGTCTCCAGGAACAGAGAACCATAACGATGATCCACAAAAGTAGTAGACAAGTCGGGGAAGGTGGTGGGTACCGTAGGGAATATCAACAAATAGACTGCGGGAAAGGACTGGGGTGTTTTGTTTTTTGCATTCTTGGGGGGGGGGGGGGGGGGGGGTGTGAGGCTTGTGGGATGGGGACTGCAATAATTGGGGAAGCTGTCAACCCTGCCCGTACAGAATAGATACCCATGTCTGCTTTTCAACTTTCTCATACCTAATTTTTTTATTTTGTTTTATCTTCCAAGCGGAGGGACGCATCGCTTAGGGTGCCCCGCGTTTGTTGATTCAAATGACCATCCATTACTGGGCCTGTTTCGAGATGCTGCACGCTGGATGGCAGCTAGTTCATCACTGTTGGCCATGGTGGTCACGGAAGATCCTTTTGGTGGAGTGAGTGATAAGTAATATTACGACGCCTACTAACGAGCTAGTAGAAGAAGTGAGACATGTGCTCTAGCCTCTTGCTCGCCTTACTGGTAACGCCAGGTACGGTACTCGATCGATCCTTTCCTCCTATAGAGATCATGGCGCCCTTTCTTTCAGGAAACGAGATTCTCTATTATTACTAGTATCTTCCCGGTCCCTTCGTCACCACTTCCCCGGAAAACACCAATTCCATTTTGATCGATAGTAGGAGGATGCAAACAACTTTCTTGCAAGGGAGTTTAGGCGGCGCACGGCCTCTTCGCAGCGTGGGAGGGTTATGAATGTGGGTAGTGTGAGTTATACATGTAAGCAGCACCCCTTTCTTGAGCTTGCGCTTGGGATATTTGGGATATTTGGGGAATGAAATTCGTTAAAATAGTTGATAGCTGGGGGTAGTTGGAAGCAACCTTTCCACCAGTCTCAAGGGATGAGATCTAGTGGACATGTGTGACAGTACCGAGGCATTGGTGGTCGTGCCAGGTTTCAATATCCTCCCACTCTTACACAAAGTGCGTACCTATAACTATGGCACATATACCCTGATGTTGATTCACATATGCTACTACCTACCTAGGTATCTGATGTTGATATAGGTACATAGGAGGTGTCTTGTGGCGAGCGGTGAATGCGCCTGTGGTGTGGCACTCACGATCATGCAACACTTTCTCTGAGGCTCGCCGTCGGGCGTCCTTTCAGCGAGACCCCGTACTGAAGTGCTGCACAAAGTACTTGATCGCGAGAGGGGACAATCATTAATATCCCATCATGGGATTCGGCTAAACAATCTATCTCGCTCATGAAAATGGTTCGTTGAGATGAGACATGAACACCGCGCCGCCAAAAAGTCTTGATCTCAGAAATTCCAATTAGCTAACGCCACCACCCTGCATTTCCCCAGCACGATTGGCCGTGGCAGCTCAGTTCTGGTAGTTTTTTTTATCTACATCTACAAGTGGTACGTATGTAGGTAGGTATTCTGATCTAGGGCTATCCTTTCCCAAAGCAAGCACCTCTCACGCTTCCCCGGTCACATTACATGTCAAGAGGGGCGCGTGCACCCCAGAAAACCAGATATCGATTCTTGACCGAAATATTTGGGTTTTCCGGGGCGGTGGGGATGTTCTTTGCTTCACAGGCGGCTACATGTAGTTGCTGTTACGCTAAAGACTACAGCAGCTCGGTAGATACAGCGATGGGGAAAATTATTGTAGAAGTATGGTAAGAGTCCTATTGGCCAGGGCAGCCACCTAAACCCTGTTTTTAGACCCCTGTTTCTACAATAATTTTCCCCATCGCTGTAGTTGAGAGATATGTTTTCGAAGCGACGCACGCATGTCACCCATCCAGTACAAGCCCCTGCATTCGCCAAGGTAAACCCGTTAAATGCTTCCCTACCTGCGAACTAGGTTCTTACCAGGACGTCAAGACAAAGTGTGGCTGGGAGGGGATTGTGAGGAGGAAGGCTTGTTGCTGTAGGTTAGGTGCTCGGAATCTTGGGGATCTTCGTATGGGGACTCTACATCAAGTAAGTAGAAAGGTTTTTTCTTGCTTTGGCTATTATTGACTTTGTGTGAATAGACATCCCTCTGCGACTGTGCTCGCTAGCCAACCGAAGAGATGTGGGTTTATGCTTGTGGAGAGCCATGATACTGGGAATATCCCATTCTCACGTATTGCGCACTGAGTTCACCCCTGTTCTCAATTCGCCTTTGTCTTCGCCTTCAGCTGGATGAGCTGCAGCCATAGGTGCAATGCTCTCAAACATAGTTGTGTCCTAGGTCTCGGTTCAGCGCCGGAACATTATCATCCTACATCCAAGCCCTATTAACGGATGGTACCGGCACCGCGCCGAGTGCGCTTTAGTGATCAAAATAATAATAATATCATGAGTTAGTTTCAGAGGACGACATCGTTACGCCGCCACTGGTCCGAGTAGTACGGATCACACGGTATCGGGGCAAGCCGGTTTATTTTTCTTTTTCGTTACAAAACCCCTCATCAGCGTTGTGGTATGCCGAGTCGATTCGGATTGGAACGGCATTTTGGTCCTCAGTGAAGAGAGTAACACATAGCGCTGGCGGTTTGTTTAAAGTTCGTGGCTTACTTTCCCCAGGATTACTAGAGTTCGGATGTTGCACTGCTTCTCGTGGTGGGTTTTCTTTTTTCTCTCGTGGTGGGTTTGCTTTTTTTCTATCTCGTCTCGGTTTTCTTTTTTTTTCATCTCATGAAAACGGCTGGGCAGGCATTAGTAGAGTAGGTAGTATTCTGCTGTACTTGCTCTAGCTCGACGCCTTGAGGAATATCCTGGTGCCGTGACAATCCGGGGAAAGAGTAGCGAGAAAATGAGGGTGGCAATCATCCTCATGTCTCCCTGAGTACTGCCTTATCAACCTTTATGAAACCGTAAATCTTGTATCATTAGATGCGATTCTGCGCGATTCTGCATGGGCTCGCTGCATTAGGAAAAAGCCTACTTGGTCTGGCCGTTGCTTGTGTCAATAAGGATTGATGTGTTGAGTTCAGTGATCAGTTCATTAATATTACGACGTCAATGATCGACTGTAGCTAGCCCGATCTGAACAGACAGTACCTTATTCCTACCGAATTTGGGACGCCCATCACGAAGTCTTAGCTAGGGCCATGTAGGTAGAGTACTCGTAGAACTCTGCATGTGTTTATCTGGATCTTATTTTACGCTCCTTTTTACCCCCCGCTCCAAGCCACGATTGTGAGCGACGGCGTATCATTCCGGCCACGCCTTGAAGAAAAATGAAGTCGAAGGAGAAACATTCCACGAGAAAAACAAAGCAACATTTTTCTGGGATATACGCTGTCATAGAGAAACTCTCGCTTAGCATGGAATCCGAGTAAGCCCCCTGTGACCTATATCAATCACATGATCCAGGATGATTCTGTCTAGGTCGTGGGTTATTCAGTCAGAGGAGGTGGCGAGGGCTGAAACTGTCTGACTATCATTATTGTTGTGACTTCGCTTAAACGATGTGTTGGAGCGCGATAGTTCGCATTGAGGGATTTGCACATCCGAGTGAGAGGTTGTGAATCAGTGTGGTATTGGAGAATTTGGGGATTGACGCACGAACCCCGTACCAAGAAATCAAGCACACATAGCCCTTTGGCTTGTAAAGGGGGGATCTTGAGACGCCACATATCGTTGAGTGTGGTAACTAAACAGCGTTTTCTACATGACAGTTATGGGAGCTCATCCTTAGCTCGCATGCCCACTAGTGATTTATTTGTGGTCGATCCTGCGCAGAATATCACTACAGACATGATATAAATTTAGTTTTGTATCAAAGAAAATAAGATTAGTGCAGGGGAAGGTTCTGAAACGATATAGAAATGGCGTTTTGCTCGATGTATACCTCCTGAAAGATGCCTTGGTACTGAAAAAACTAAGGCGCACTGCAATCAATTATTAAAAAAGGCGCGTGTAAATTTACCACTCAATATAACGGAATATCTTGAACTTGTAGAAGATTTATCTAGACGTGGTATTTTTGCTCGACCTAGTTTTCTAACAATATCTACATCACCTCCTTGGTGCAGTCAAGTCCCAAAGAAACTGCACCTGACGTCAATGATAGTAATGTCGGCTTTTCGCACGCTTTGAGCTTTGCTACATAGACGCCTTCACGAGGTATAGTGCTCACGGGGGTATGGTACAACTTTCAAGAACGTCAAAAATGAGCATGGAGAATTCGAGAAAAATCAACAGAAGTCCTTATTTTGCACAGAGAATTGTATCTATAAGCTTTATTTGCTGATATTCCTCGTATTTTTTGTGCCCATTTTTGTCGTTCTTAGTTGTTGCACCATACCCCCGTGAGCACCATACCCCAGTGAAGGCGTCTACACGTCTTTTCGGCCAGTATAGGGCAATGTACTCCAATGATATCAACAGGGCACGTGTTCTATATTTCTCTTATGGAAGAAATCTGTTGCTTGTCCGCCTGTACTTTCTCTATCTCTGAGTGAAAAAAGCATTCAGTAGGTGGGTGATACCAGAAAAAGATATCTGAAACCCCCGACAAATGCTCAAGCCACCTACCATCAACGGTAAATACGGAAACGAATAAGAATACGTGAGCTTTCTCTTGGAATTCCATCGACCCCATCTCGCTCCGGGTTATCCCAGCTAAAAGTTCACAAGCACAGCCGCATGAGCCCCGGGAAAACGCAGCAGTCGAAATCTTAAACCCACGTGTATCCCGATACACCAGTTCTCCGGCCCCATAGGCAAAAGCCAAACCCGGAAACAGCCCCCATCTTGCGGCCCGGATAGAGAATTCCGACCGATCGAGAACACCCAATCCTATCCGATCCGCTCCGATTATATGGCCCTTGCACCAATAGACTCAGAGTCTTGTGGTATGATGATTTTACTGTCTCACGGTTGACCGGCGGTGAAGAATCGGCAAATCCTCTGTCTTGGAGGGCGAGCAAGACATATAAGATGAGCACTTATACATTACTAATGTCCAGGCACTGTGATTATCAGATCCGGAACCCCGGTGTCATCTCATATTCGATCCCACCTCGATTGGACATATCTTATCTCGGATCAATGTGCCCGAACCTTCCGTGCCTGCCGTGATAGTGACATGTCCCGGATGAGCTGAGCTGAACAGTGGCCCGAGTCCCAATATCACGGATGTAGGCTATAGCTAGCCATTCTTATTAATCTAGATAATCTAGATGGAATCAAACGCCACAGTTGTTTTAATGTCATGATATTACTATACACACCGCGTGTAGAGTTGCGCCTAATATGCGCGTAGATTAGATAAGGGCTGTACCTAGTATGCACCTGCCACTCATCCGTACAGTTGCGCGCACGCCGTGGAGAGGTTGCCATTGCCGACCAGCTTCTGCCGGCAGTGGCCAATCTAATCGAATCGGTCAACCAGCCAGACAGCCAACGTGGGGTTTACTTTACTTTGCCCTTCATATGGATCTACCGGTTGATGGGGGACGGAGGAGGGGGAGGGGGTACATTCTGATCAGATCTGGCTTAAATTTCGAGGAAATGAGATGCAAGAGATCAACATCATCGTTCTAGACTCGACACTCTCTGCGTAAACGATACAGTAGCAATGAATTTTGTCTCCTCCATTGAGAAGTCTATCGCCCGCGGGGTAGATGGGTATATTAGCAGTAAAGTCTTGGAGTTCGAAATGACATCCGCCTCTCTGTATGACCTAGCTATCAAAGTGATGAGATTCCTCCCGATATCGTATGTACCTACATATCCAAGCCAAGGCGCGCGGGGTATCAATATCCATCATTGGATGAGACATTGCCTTAATTCACCATACGAACGACCTGCTAGTTTGTTGATGGGCCAAGAAAGTTAACTATCAATATTGATAACCTATATGGAAAACCAGGAAGTAACGCGCCGCCGCCCCCAGATCTCCACGTTCAAGGCCCGATAGAGTTTTTTTCGAGAAACGCATTCCCCGCGAAAGCTCGAAGATCATCAAACCAGGAGGGTGCAGTCTTGAATTCAACGGCTCGCACATCCATGGACCCAGACGGTACCCAGGAAGTGCTGCCCCGGCCCACTAGCTAAAGTGACGGTCCCTGAACCCGCCAAACGAGGAGAAAAATGGATTGATTGAAAACAAGATTTCTAATGGTGATGACGATGAATGATCAAAAAGTCGAGAAGCTGGGGGAGAAGAAGGGGGGGGGGGAGAGAAAAAAAAAAGCTTCGAATTATCGGGTTGTGAAGATATTGTGGTGTCTATATCTATCTGGATACCCGGGCACTGGCACAAGCAGCCTGCAGGGGAGTGGAAAGGTCGGTCCGTAGATCCTGTACATGCCCTGGATGGGACGTTGGATGGAAATTTGGTAGATCACCCCCCTGTTCGGCTATGGAGATGGTGCCTATATTGGAGAATGCCTATTTTGGTCGAAACTTCAATAAAAGCAACGCTATAGACAGCTTCGAGAGGAACCCTACAAGATCCCAATTCCAACATCACCACCTGATCCTAACGTACCAGTCAAGTGCAAAATGCAAAATTGTTTCTTTGCATGGCTACCCACAGTAGAGTAGAAACGTTTGGACGGTGAATCCGCCGGGCCAGTATGCCAGATTACCGTCAAGCACTGCATAAAGTACATATACGGGCAGCACCGGGGGGGAGGCTATATGCACGTGCAGGCCTAGCTATATAGGCAGGGCCGATGCTGCAATAACGATAAACCAGCAGTAACCCGAACACCATTAATATTAATAACGAGTAACGTCGGCTGCGGCTGTTTGGCCAGGTACATGTATGTATGTATGTAGAGTACATGTATGTTTGCATCGACCTGAACGCGCGCCAGGGCATGGCCATGGGCACCGAAACACACTCGCTCTCTTCCCTCTTGATCTTCTCTTGATCCTCCACACATACGCAAAACGGCCATGATCAACGAACATTGTACTTACATCTCTGCTCAATTAAGCAGGACCCAGCACCAAAAGCTTGAACCTCATCGTATTGTATCGGTCGCACTGGACGGAAACCACGGGAAACAAGAAGCAAGTCGACGATATAACGTGCAGGTAGGTCCTGGATACATGGACTGCTACCTGCATAGTATCTGGCTAGCATTCCCAAGACGGCATAGCGCCATTGCAGTTAATCAACCTGTTTCCACGCTACCAGAACTGTTTGCGGATCCTTACCCCTGCTAGGAGTCAACCAATATTAATTGCTGTAACAACGGTACTGACGGGAGACGTCAATTTCTTGTGCAGTGCAGTCAGTGGCATGTTCTGGAGGGAGGTTCTCGGACTGCTCATCTCATGAGGTATGTATATACATACATACATAGCGGGGTCCCAGCAACTGGTTTGCCACCCATTGAGTGCCCATATTCTTGATTGTCTAGTTGGTAAGTTCATAGCTAACTATATGTAACTGCTATATCTATCTAGATACGAAATAATAGCAATAGGAATCGAACGGCTAACTGGCCATTATCCTCAGTACTGCCATTGTTCGACAAAGATATTAACCTAGGCTCCCATAAACATCCCCCCCCCCCCCCCCCAATGTCCGCCGCCCCATATTCCCCGCCAATTCCGGAATTTTCGGCTCCCAGTTCCTTGGTAGAATAAGCTTTTTCCCACGCATCCACAGGCTGATTACTCTATTACCGTACTCGCTCCGGGCGGACCTGCGTTGCGGATCCCTTCTTTTTCTGACCGGACGAGAGGAGGATATTTCTTCTACAGCTTCCTTTCTTTCTGGCTACAGTCCAGATACGGATCAAATATTCCGATGGCATTGCATGCTGGATAGTACTGTGGGTCGTGGTTGCGAGCTTTCGCGGTGTTGTATATGTAGCTTATAGGCCGTGCGGAGAGGTGTGGACCCTGGTCGTCGCAGGTATAACGGGGAGTAGGGAGTACTTACTATATGGCTGATGAACAGGTCGGTGATCGAGTGTTTTTTTCCTGCTAGTAGAGCTCTATAGTAACCGTACGATGTGGGTGCATTGTAGGGTTAATTACATGTAGTTGGACCACCGCCCGAGCTCCACTTGCCATCACCCGACTTGGTTCTCTGCAGCCTGGCTGATATTTCCACGCAGGGCCCTACATAGTACTGTGAAGAGCTCATATGTTTGCTCCTTAACTCATCAAGCCAGTACTAGTAATCCCCCAGGGCAAGGCTTGGTATAAGAACCGCCCAATCCACCCCCCGAGAGAATCCACCCTCCAAGACAAGACAGCAAGTCTCTCTGCACTCAGTCACTCTTTATCACCCGTCTCTCCTTCACACAAACGCAAAAAATGAAGTACTCCCTCACCCTTGCAGCTATCACGCTGCCCATCTTTGCGGCCGCCCAGAACGCCGCCTGGGCGCAGTGTGGCGGTGTCACTTGGACTGGATCGACAACCTGCGTGAGCGGATACACATGCAGCAAGATCAACGACTGTAAATCTTGTCCCGTCCTTGGCTATATATCGATGGTGTTGGTGGCTGACTTGGGAATTGTATGTACACAGACTACTACCAATGTGTTGCCGGAACGGCCACAACTACCGCCGCTGCTACCACCACTTCTGCGGCCACTTCGACAGGCACTGGAAGTGCTAGCTGCTCGGGTACTTTGACAAAGTTCAAGTACTATGGTATGAACGAGGTTGGTCTCTCCTACGCATATCTACTCATTGGGTAGTGTATATGATGCTGACTGTATACTACTACTAGGCGGGTGCAGAGTTTGGAAACGCGAATGTCCCCGGTGTGTTGGGCACGGACTACACATGGCCCACGACCGACAGCATCGACTACTTCATGGCGAAGGGGTTCAACACGTTCCGTATCGGGTTCTTGATGGAGCGCATTTCGCCTCCGGCTACTGGTCTCACTGGCGCGTTTGATGCGACCTATTTGGCCAGTCTCAACACGGTATGTGGCGATACTGTGGGGATGTTTGGTTTGAGGGTTTTGGCTAATGGTTGTGGATTGTAGATTGCAACTTATATCACCGGAAAGGGAGGATGTGAGTTTATGCTTGTCGGTGATGGGTTGTGAGTGAGTGGTGTGCTGATTTGTGGTAGATGCGATCCTTGACCCCCATAACTTTGGGCGTTATAACGGTGGTATCATCACCGACTACACCTCGTTCGGAACATGGTGCAAGACCTTGGCTTCCTCGTTCACGTCGAACTCCAAGATCATCTTCGGTCAGTCCTCTCGCAGAGCATGCTCGTGTGGCTGAATGCTAACTCTTCCCACAGACACAAACAACGAGTACCACGACATGGACCAAACCCTCGTCTTCAATCTCAACCAGGCCTGTATCAACGGTATCCGTGCTGCCGGCGCCACCTCCCAGCTCATCCTCATCGAAGGAAACTCCTACACCGGTGCCTGGACCTGGGTCTCATCTGGCAACGCCGCCAGTCTCCTCTCGCTGACCGACCCCAACAACAACATCGCCTACGAGATGCACCAGTACCTCGACAGCGACGGTTCCGGAACATCGCCAACATGTGTCAGCAGCACCATTGGCGCTGAGCGCATCGCGGCCGCCACCGCATGGCTCAAGGCAAACAACAAGAAGGGATTCCTTGGTGAGATTGGAGCGGGAAGCAACGATGCGTGCATTACGGCAGTTAAGGGCGCGCTGTGTGCGATGCAGCAGAGCGGCGTGTGGATCGGAGCACTGTGGTGGGCGGCCGGGCCGTGGTGGGGCGAGTAAGTTTTGATGATCCCTTTCCGGTTCGTAATAGACGTGGACTGACACTTGAGATAGCTACTATCAATCGATTGAGCCCCCGAGTGGTCCAGCGATCGCCAGGATCTTGCCTGAGGCGTTGACCCCGTTCTTGTAGAGTCTTCACTCCGAGATGGACCAGCTGGTAAGTTGATAATGGTGTAGAATAGTCGGGGAGGGGAAGTGGGGGAGGGGGAGAGGGAGAGGGAGGGGGAAGAGGGGCTCTGAGAGCTTTTTGTATCATCATTAAAAAAGAATTTGTTTGTTTGATTGAAAATGAAAATGAAAATGTGAAATTGGTTGTGATGAAGTACTTGAGGCTGTCGGATATATAGGTACTGCTATGACTGGATTTGTCGAGAGAGGTTGAAGAGGGTTGTGCATGTTTGTGCTAGCAATGGTGGTGGTATTTCGGCCAAAGGGTGCCGATATGATTCGAACATTTTTAGAGAGAAAGCGACGGTGTGCACGGTGCAGATGAAGTATATCACTGCACTATATGTACATGAAGTACATACATGCAGTCGCCCCGGTGGTGCGTACGGACTCATAGCGGGTGTGCCAAGGACGGCCGAGTGACTGCTTATGACCGCACTCGAGTCAACGCATAAAGAGCAAAGACGCAATCTGTCCCCGGACGGTGTACTTACATGTGATGAGATCAACCATTGTACTTAGGCCTCCCAACGCCGTCTCTCGCAGCCCTCTGTGATTTCCCTATCATCATCATGACGAGTGTGCTTTCAGAGGGACCTAATTATTCTATTCCGCCCCATCCAGAATTTGGAGAGGTTTTGAGCTGACTTGAATTTTCGGAGAGAATGGCGTGCCGATGGTGTTTATGTCCATTCTGGAGCAGACCGTCTAGCGTATTGGGGGAAAGGGGGGGGGGGGGGGGGGTAGTTAATCAACTACGAGGGCCCTGAGTGATATAATTTGAGCTTTTATCATTCCGTGTGAACATCATCGCGAATTTCGGACCCGTCAGGTCACCTATGAACTCAATCGATTGATCTCTCAAAGTCGTGGTGGATATCTCGACATAAAACATATTCCTTGCCATACACATCTCCTTATCCCTCAATATTAAAATACATAAACCAACTAATCTACAGTACATAACCAAACCTACCACCGTATTCTAAGGGTATAATTACAATAAATGTCTATCAAATCCTTCATGCCACTTTGCCCTTCTCACCCACCCCAAAATCCCCTGGAAACTCCACGCTGCCAACCAGGCCCTCTACACCACCGACCAACCTCCCCAAATCTGCCACCAAGATGCTCACCGCCACCTGCAAAACCGCAAACGCCACATACCCTTCCTCCCCACACCTCTCGATCCCCAAGATCTCCGCATCCCGCTCCTCCAGCGCCTTCGAAAGCCCATAAGGCCCGGGCACCACCACCGCCGGCGGCAGTGGTCGTCCCCCCGCAAGACTCGTCGACAGCAAACAAAGCAGCCCCGTCACCTGCGGCGACCGCGTCTCCACCGTCTTGAGCAGCGCCGACAAGTCCCTGACCCACGCCTGACTGCTGTGCGAGAAGCTGCGCGAGGCGAACGCAATGATAGACAGATACGTGCTGATGCTGGCACAGACATCAATCAGATGGTCGTAGTGCGCCTTTGGCCATGCCCCGCGCAGCGACGGCTCAAAGACCGTCATGGCGCTGTTGCGCCGCAGCGAGTCGAGCGCGATGATGGACGAGGTCATGAGCTTTGCGCGGCGCTTCTCGAAGACGGCGCCGTGGCTGTGCTTGTCGGTCTCGTCGCCGGCGGTGCCGTCGATGCGCATGCGGACGAGTGAGATGGTGTTGCTGTAGCTCTGGGCGAGGAGGTAGAGCTCTGCGGCGACGTCGCTGCGGATGCGGGAGCGGGTGGAGGTCGGGTATGGGAACACGGTGAAGAAGAAGGCGACGCCGATGCCGGCGAGGGTCACGAGGAGGCGGTACCAGCCGAGGTCGTTGATGCCGAGAACAGGCTGGCCGGAAGCCTCGGAGGCGGGGATGCCGGCGACGCGGACTTGCAGCTCGTAGCCGATGATCATGATCTGCGTGATCATGGCTGTGAAGACGGATTGGATTGTCTGTGGGATCTTGATGATGAAGTAGAATTCTGGGGCTGTCAATGATTGCACGGGCAGGTTCTGGGTGGCCAAGTATGGAGAATGGGAAACGTACGGATTGCAACAAAGAACCAGAGAAAGACGATCACACCTCTGTGCTGATGGGTGAGAAGAATATCTAAAGGGCGGTGGGAAGACGACTTACGCAGTGTTTCCATCGACAATATACCAGTTGACAAAGGCGAATATCACAGCCATGACCGTGCCAATGATCCTCCCAATGAAGCCAAATAACTACACCAAAGCGTCAGCATGGCTCTCAAACACTCTAACGTATAGAAGAAACTCACTGAAGCACCACTCGTCGGACTCATCCCAATGGCGACCATAATCATGGCCCACATGACCCTCTTCTCATTGAAGAACACATAACTCGACTCGAAGAATGCTGGTGCCGCCACAACCATTGTCGCGCACGCAACTCTGACGCCGAATGCGCTCTCATCGCTCCTGAACAGCTCTGCGCAGTGTGAAAGAACCTCACCAACCTTCTGTAGACCGCTCGCCGCCGGAAGATGCTCTGGGTCCCGTACTGGTCCAATCCCTGGTTTGCCTTTCCTGCTACCACCAACGTCACCAACATCGACAACGTCGTCCCCATCCCCATCCGCGCTCAAGAGCCACTTCTTCACCCTACGAAGAGAAGGATATACAAACCGCCGCCGGTCGAGGATACCAGATGCCTTTGTCGCCTCCGCAAAGCGCGCAAGCGACAGGAGAGACTCGGAAGCAGAGCGAAGAAGATGCTCCATAAACAGCACCAGATACAGCATACTCTTTGCATCACCATCAAGCATAGTCTGCGCCTTCCTCGTCATATCCCCCACATCGACTGGGACCTTCGCCTTGAAATGGCTCTTGATCTCGTCTGTCCTTGTCGCATAAAACGTGTCTACTCTCTCCTGTAGCACATCGCAGAACCCAATTTGTCCCGGAACCTTGACTGCCCCCTCTTCAACATCCGCCGCTTTCTTGTCCTGTTTCCGTCCTCCAAGCTCTAGAAGAATCATCGTGTGCTCCACCGCCTCCTCGCACAGACCTGCTATAACGCCATACGGCTGCCGTAGTACCCGCATCACCTCCGCGAACTGCTCTTTGCCGCGGCACTCCCCGTCCTCGCTCGTGGCGGCGCGGGCTACCCCGCGGTCAAAGATGTCGAGGATGGCGGTCATGCCTTGAAGCGGGAGGGCGGTGGCTTGCAGGTGCTTGTGGGCTGCGCGCAGGTCCGTGGTGGTGTAGTGGCCAATAGCAGTCTCGCGCTTCGCCATAGGGAGGTCGAGGGTGAGCTTCGCAAAGAGGTCGGAGTGCGTCTTTTGGGCGACGGAGAGCGGAGGCGGGGCGGGCTTGTCGGAGCTGGGCTTGTGGGTGTCGTAGAATGAGACGTCTTCGTACTGCTGCATGAATGTTTTCTGTTTGTGGTATATCAGTCATTGGCCCCTCTTACTTCGCACCCAGATATCATTGACGCCTGGCGGAACCGGGGGAACTACGAACCTGCTCCTTCAACAGTGTTTTACACCCTTCAAGATAGCCACCGACGCCTCTCCACCAAACCATCCGACAGTTGACGGGGATGACCACCACGCCGACAACAAGACTGAGCGCAAAGCCGGTCATGAACGCCTTGATCAGAAGCACCACGATGCTGATTGCCCGCGGCATCGTGAGGAGTGGCCCGTACGTGAATACGACGCTTATAAAGATTGTGTAGAGAATCACCGGTATCGACAGCGCCGGAAACTTGGCGCGGAACAAATTGACGAGCCAGACGTTTGCAAAGAGCCATGCTGCGGAGACGGCGGCCGCGGAGCCATTAAATGCGGTGGTGGGGGATGAGGGGTTATGGCTGCGCGCAATTGTGGCAGTCCAGAGGCCAAATAGGGCTGTCGCGGAACCAAGGCAGACGGCGATCTAGAGCTGTTATGTTAGCGGGGTATTGAGAGTTGAGAAGGAGGGGGAATTGGGAGCGTACGGTGTTCTGGATCGTGAGTTGGACGAGCTTTGCGCGTGGGAGGATGCACATGGACAGACTGGCGACGATGGTGACGAGGTAGCCCATGGTGCCGTAGGTGGCGGCGATGGTGGAGTTCTGGTACATTGCGGTGAAGATAGTGGGCGGGAGGGCGCCTCTGTGTTCAGGCAGTCAATATTTCGTTCTCTCTCTCTCTCTCTCTGGAATTAGAATTGAGTTGACATACTTTGCCATCATCATCAGCGTCCCAGCATCGAGTCCTAGCTTCCCCCATAGTGTCGCCAGTTTCCCCGCCGGCTTCTTCTCTTCATGTACGGTGCTGGCGTCGGCCATCGTCAGGTCCTCTGAGTCGGCAGAAGACATGATGGTGATTACTTTAACTTGCTGCTTAAAAGATAAGCTTAAACTCCCCGATCGCTGTTTGTTGATTATAATTCCAGAAGCACCACAGAATCGGGGGGGGGGATCAGCTATTCTTTATATAAATAACAAAATACCAAATCCCATCCAGGCGTGCTCTGCACGCCTAAACCCAAAACCCCATCGGATTCCGACATCGAGTGTCTCACGGAATCCGTCACTCGGAACCCGTAGGCTAGCAGCTCTGCGCTGGGTGATCCTGACGCAAGAGCGCCGGGCGTTGCAGCCAATAACGGGAGTAGCAGTGGCTTGGCCTGCAGGATTCCTGATCGCAGCAGGGGTACGGCGCCGGAGAGACTGAAAACTGGTTTTGCTGGAAGAGGAGTAGTTGGAGGCGGACGGAGGCTTAATTGGAGGATGGGGGGGGTTACATAGCCAGGGAAGAACTACTGGTGCTGCTTAATGGTAAGCAGCTTATGCTGCCTACAGTCAAACACTCCGGCTTGGAACCTCTTTCTTTCCACAGCTTGAGCTGAGCTCTCAGTAGAGTAGTACATATGTCAAGTCCTGGTGGTTCGTACAGGCGTATCTACCCGAGCGATAAAGGGGCGGGGGAAAAAGGGGGGGGGGGGGGGGGGGGTGACAGGCGAATTCATGTTTCAATTGACGGAATAACCACGGTCTGAGGGCCAGAACTGCTAGGACAGGCCTTATGAAATCGTAAATATTGATTAAAAATCCCAAGACTGGCTAGCCGGCGGGCGCTAGCCATCTTGGCTTGCTCTGGCTAGTCCTGGTGTGGCTTTTTCTTGTACGGTAGGCGGGGTTAGGGTTGGTGTTCCCTGCCTTGCTTGGGCTTGGGGGATATAGAATTAAGGGTTTCGTCAATTTCATGCTAATGAGATGCATGTAACTTCTGGTTTTTGGGTCTTGTGGTGCTGAGAGATGGTGGATGAATAGGCCTATTGGGGCTGCGGGGCAGGTAGGTGTTCTTTCTATTGACAATAGCCTCAGCTGACAATGAGCTGCCTATATCCTATTAGATATTGCATTCGCACATGTTGAATTTGCAAGTGCAAACATCTCAGCTGGCGTCTGAATCATTGCATACACAGACACAATATGAGGGTCAACAGAAGCGGTGTTTGGAATGTTAATGCGCTAGTGCTGCATCTGATAATTACAACTGGCTAGCCCAGCTTTGAGGGACAAATAACCGTCAAAGAAATACAGTCTCCGCTTGACGGATCAGGCCATATATTGCAGTCGAAGCACAAGCAGAAATACATAGAGTTGGGCCGCGAAGGATACGCCCGAACCGTTGGCGTCGTACGTCCGGCTTGGGATAGGTGGCATATATATAAACGGACGCGTATATACATTTTCCTCACGATCTCGGATATATTGAGGACTTTACAGAAATCCCCTTCGTTGTGTGGAGATTGATGCGGGAAGTCCACTGGCTGAGGGATTGCGCGAAGGCAAGGAACCCGAAAGCCGCGCTTTGAGGCCGGCCGAGGAAGGCTTCTAGCGGCGGGATGTTATTGTGAGTGGGGGCTGTGGTTCCCGTTATATGGATTAAGGTCTTGTGGCTAGAAATATTATTGAGGTGCTTCTTTAAGGTATGGATTCAATGCACAGCCCGGTGGTGCCATGAAAGGGCTGTGTTATAACTACAAGTACTTATCTATTGTCTACGTTGAGGATAGGCTGCTTATCCCATGTGTAAATAGCTATAACTCGCAATATTCGTCACGAAATGATTTTGGAAACAGTTATAGTGCAGGAAACGTCCAAAGTCTATTGAACTAATCAAGACCAGGCAATTTTATCAAGACGATATGGTATGATCAAGATTTAGATTATCATTAATTGCATCGACCAAAACCAAGACAATCTACAAGGTACAAACGAAAAGGTCTATAAAAAGAGCGTAATTGGACCCACTCAATGGGCCAAACCATTTCTACACCCATCACTTCATGAAATTACATCCCAACACCTCACACCTGAGACCCCCACCCCTCAGTACGACCTCCTATACCCGTCCAGCGGTACCGCATACCCCGGCGGCGGCCCCGGAGGCCTCAACGGCGGCTGAATCACCGGCCCCGGCGGACTCGGGGGGCTCTGAGGACTCTGCGGACTCGAGGGGCTCTGAGGACTCGGGGGACTCGGCGGCACCTCATACACTGGCCCCGGCATCGGCGGCACCTGCACCTCGATCGCCGGCCCAGGCGCCGGCGGCCTCACCGGCACCTCCATCACAGGGGGCGGACCGCCCGAGTTGTAGGGGCTCTGGTATCCGAATGGCGGGCCGGGGGACATCAGCGGCGGAGGCAGCTGCGGGGCCTCGGGGTTGTACGGGGCGGAGAGGATGGGGGAATCGGGGGGGCTGTCGGATCGGCCGCGGTGTTTGCGCCAGAGAAAGAATAGGAGCATGCCCATGAGGGCTGCGCCGAAGATGCTGCCGACGGCGACACCGCCGATGGCGCCGCGGGAGAGGTTGTCGGATGCGGGGGGGAAGAGGGCGGGGGTGCCGGTCGGGGTCGGGGTTGCGGTTGGAGTTGGGGTTTGTGTGGGGATTGGGGTGGAGGAGGTGGTGGGACGGGTGGTGTAGATGAAGGTGGGAGGGGGCGGGGAGGAGGTGGGAGAGCTGGAGGATGATGGGGAGGATCTGGAGGTTGAGCTGGCGGGGTTTGAGGAAGAGGATGAGGGTTTGGAAGAAGAAGAGGAAGGAAGAGGAGAAGAAGAAGAGGGGGTGAGTGAGAGAGTTGAAGATGTTATTGGACTGCCGTAGATTATTGACGTGTAGTCAGAGGAAGAAGACAAGTCGAAAGTGGAGGTGTAGTATACAGGTACAGAATAGGTTGTAGGTAAAAAGATGAACGATGAGGAAGAAAGGATTAAGTTGCCAGAGCTGGAAGAGCTATCATATATTGGCAAGCCAGTGGTGGAGGTTAACGATGAGCTAATCGAGTGTGTAGAAGTAGGACCTTGAGAGATAGGATAACTGGGCGATTCGATGCAGCTCGAAGAAGGCAATTCTGGAGTGGGGGAATATGTTGGCTCGGAAATCACACTGGATGACGGGAAAGTGATATAAATGAGGGAAGATGTCGCAGAAGATGCAATCGTTGATGAAATTGAAGGGACATAGGTTAAACAGTCTGAGGTATAGAGAGAGCTGCTTGTGGAGGTGAACGCAGATGAGTATGTTGAAGGGGGAGGAGGGGGGCGGAGGAGGGAGGAAAGAAGGATATGAATTGGCTGTGCAGGAACAGGTCGCGGCAGCATCGTTTGTAGCTGTTGTCGTTGTAGTGACTGTGACAGTCACAGTGACGGGTGGGGGACTATTTACAGTGCTGAAAGTTAACAAGCGCAAAAGGAATGAGAAAAGCAGTTGGTCTCTTACCAGTAGAGGCACCAGTCGCTCTCTGCCCCATGGTTGTAGCAAGGCCTGGCCTCTGATCCCATAATGCCTAAACAGCGGACTTGAACACTTAGTATCAATGACTTTATATCAAAGCTCAAAGGCTAATATAATATAATGCAATGTAGGTACGAGGCTTTCCAAGTGAGATTTTAGGCGATTCAAACAATCCAGGACCTTCGAACATGTGATGATAACCCACATGTATCATCAATATGACAAAAGAAATACCAAGTAGAGATGAGCAACTTACAGATGAGATTGATGACTTCGTAGTAATGATGGTCAAGTCTCCAATTGATGAAAGAACGATATTTCAGCGTCGATGGCCGTGGGAAGGACCTGCACTTGAGAGCGATGGTGTATCTGCCAGGGCGGAACTGCGTTGACTGACTTGGCCAGGAAACTCTTTCAAGCAATAGAGAATGGGCGCACGATATATAAATCCGTACCTGAATCCAAAGTGGCCCAGTGCCCTGACAGCTACCCTCGCAAACCTTGCATTCGAGTTACCAGGCTTGAAAGGTAAAATAGGTGGACCATGAGCTCAGGGTATGCCCCCCCGGAGGTGGGCAGCAACTCGTTTGACGAATCGGATAGAAAAAGTCTAACGAGGTTGGATGATACACATGGTGCTGGCAGAAAAAAGAAGCAACCCTTCAGCTCCGAGATTGACCTTGTTGAGAATTCCTACTGGATACTGTCCATAATATTGCAAGGGCATAAGCACAAACAGGCAGCCTGGTGGGCACTCAACGGATTTATACAACTAGTGATAAGAAGTCAATAATAAACTTTCAGGTTCGTTCCTTGTAAGGTCCAAGATCCATGAGATAGAGAGATCCCAACAAGGTGGATCTGACAGGCCCGAACAACGCCAAATTCATATCTCAAGATGAGAACGGCCGGTATGTTTCAACCGAAAGTCAATACTGAAATATCCTCGAGATACTGTAATGATACATGACGTCCTGCTCCCACGTGTACGTACATGCAACTTTGAGGCTCCTGGCCAGAGATGTAGCCATCCGTCAAGTCAATGTATCCAACCACGTATTTGAGTGCTGCACCGGTCAGGTTAGAGGTTCTGGGGCGCCAAGGGACTGCAAGTTTCACAACTCGAAGATGACAGGGTCTCATATCCTGGGCAGAACGCCCAGCCGTGATTCTATTGGCTGCCTTACCAACGCACGCCTGGTCAATCAGATGAATCCTTTCCTACCACCAATCTCATGGCAAAGACCAGCGGCTCATGCAGAGTTAACATGTCATGAGAAAACTCAATACCAGCCCCGAGGTCTTCAATTATGCCAGTTGGCAGACCAGAACCCCTTACATGTTTCGTGAGTTCGTTAGGATATGTAGCTCTTAATTACATTCAAACCTAGATCTTGATGGGTCAAGTACCAGAAGTAACCAAGATAAAACCCTATTCAACCTGATCAGTGGAGTAAAAAAAAAAAAAAAAAAGATTACGAATGGAAACAAGGCTCCTGCCTGGGCCGTTCCATCCGTACAGAAAAGCTACATACCTGAACTGTATTCCACGTGATGGGCTCTAGGATGGTACAAACGGCTTGGGAAAAACGACAGCGGGCGTATACTCTGCCAATAAACTTGGAGAGGAAACGTTAAACACTGAGTATGTGCACGCGCAGTACGCTATCCCATTTACCTTGTGTGTAACCCCAAGCTGGCCAATCGCCGTCCTACCTACCCCGCTTGGATTTAGTCCTGCGCAATTCTCTTGGTCTCTAAAATATGTAACTGATTCTCACATCGTTCAACAACACCATCCTTTGCAAATTGGTCCAAGATCATAGTGGGTTTGAATTTCTAGTTGCCTCGATATATAGCAGAAGCTGGAGAAAGGCAAATATGCCTTTCGGAGATCGACTGCGTGCCTTTGGTAATAGGTTAAACATATATCCATCATCTAGACGGAAGGCTCGAAGTTTATCATCCCCTCATTCTAACCAATCCTCCACACTCGATATCCCAAGCGAGCATCCAAGATCAGCTATTCCTCCAGGGACTACTCCCTTACAGAGTCCAACTTCTCCTATACAGCAAACCCCCAGCGCACCCGTTATCACTCCCCAGCCTATATTACAAGAACCCTTGAGCTCAACGGATTCTGTCCACAGAGTCTCCGGTGCATCTGCCGCACCCCCGGTCACGCCCCACCCTGATCCCTCTTTCTTAAATCCCCCAAACCCTTCAAGCCAGCCGGCACCATCTTCAACAGCTTCCCAAGAAGAGCTTGTCAGTACCCTGTGGGATGAAGCTGTGGAGAAATTGAGCGTGGAAGATCGAGAATATTTCAAGACATCTGGAAATGACAAACTCAACACGCTGGAGACATTTATTGGAGAAACCAAGGCGAAAAGAGATGAATATAAAAAGAAGCAATGGAAATGCACTAGCTATGTTGATAACATTTTAGCTCAGCTAGATAAACTTGCAAAAGTCGGCGATGTCTTGGTGAAGCAGAGTCCCAGCATTGTGGCTATGCCATGGGCTGGTTTTAGATTCCTTTTACAGGCAAGTTATCATAGCTGCTCAAATTGGTATCCAGGCGGCGGACTCACTGTCTATTGTAGATCTCTTTGAACGATATCGAAATTGTTGAGAACGTTCTGCTTGCGCTTGAATATATCGCGCATACACTAGGTCGATGTGCAATCTATGAACACCTCTACCTGAAGCCTTCAAATCACACAATTGCCGCGCGAAACCTTCGAGCCGCGCTACCGGATCTATACGCTGTAATTTTGATGTATCTATCTGAGTCAAACAAGCATTTCACCCAAAACCTTGCTGGTACTTTTAAATTCTTTGAATCCAATATTTTCGATGCTGACTATATGGTAAAGTGCGGGCTTTACACAGCACATGGGATCCATACATATCAAGATTCAAGCCACTCATGGAGAGGATCAAGGAGGGGGAGGCAACCGTGGAATATAATGTCCATGCGGCGAGAGACCAAGGTACGACATGTCTCCCTAAATTTGGCTCGGATTGCATCTACTAATGAAAATTTCGACCTTTAGGCCAAGTTGCCATTAATGAGAAAAATGATCATGGTTAGAAAGACTTAAAGAGTCGAATAACTCGTATGAATTTTGACTGACTTTATACTTGCAGTTCAACAACAGCAGATGGAAAAACTACAGATGATCCTTGAAGCAATGAAAATGCCACAAATCCAGCAGGATTTAGAAGATATACGCAGACGTATCGCAGAAAATTCAAAGAGTATAAAGACTTCTCTCAGTTGATCCGATAATGAATGTTGTAAGGCCGCCGATAGCTAATCTTCTAGTAGGTGCCGAACGCCAAGCTATTCTGAAGTGGTTATCAGAAGTGTACTTCGAGGACCATCACAATCTCATCAAGTCGAATCGTCATCCGGGTAGTGGTGGGTGGCTTTTCGAAAAGGGGGAGTTTATCAATTGGAAAGCATGCGCAGAGAGTTCTATTCTTTGGTTGCGCGGTTTCCGTAAGTCCTTCTGATCACTTTACACACATCTGCACAGTTTTAGTCACTCTCCTTATATAAACTGCCATACTGCCGCGATCCCCACTGCTATATATCTCCTACCTTACACTGATGTATGTTTATAGCTGGTGCCGGAAAGACGAACCTAGTGTAAGTTCTCAAGATGCTTTCAACTTACTTTGAAGTAGGAGGGTTGTTTATACTTTTGTTCTTCACGCAGATCGGCAGTCATTGATCAATTCACGGATACCCGACGGAAAAGGGAAGCTATTGCGTACTTCTACTGCAAATATGATCAAGAGGAGCGACGAGATCCATCGCAAATTCTCAGGGCGATCGTGAAACAATTATCATCCGTAGAGCCCGGCTCAAAGCTGTCTGAGTTAGTCGAAGACATCTACAAAAAGCGCAAGGATGGCGGATTCAAGTCCGGCCCTTTGACTATGGCAGAGAGTGAGAGTCTATTGATCGAAATGACTGCAGATTATGAATCTACATTCATCTGTATCGATGCGCTGGATGAATGCGATAAAGATACACGTGGAGATCTGTTAGATGCTCTACAAAGAATTTTAAAGAAATCGACCTGTCCTATCAAAGTCTTCGTCGCTAGTCGGGATGACCAGGACATCAAGCTCCACCTTGATGGTCTGCCCAATGTTTATATACGACCAACAGATAACCATACGGATATCCATCGATTCATAAGGGATGAAATAGATAGATTGGTGGATCGAAAAAAGCTGATGTATGGTTTTTATGATCCTGAGCTCAAAGCTGCTATCATAGAGAATATCACCAACCGCGCAGGCGGAATGTAATATATATACCAATCTTCTCGGTTTAGAAAACTCGTGCTGACATGGTGGATTTAGGTTCCTTTGGGCCAGTTTGCAGATCCAAAGTTTGTGCCGCGAAAAAACAAAATCAGACCTCGAAAAGGCAATGATTGAGATACCGGCAGGGTTAGACCAGACATTTAATGCGATCCTTCATAGAATCGATGTACAATCGGAGCGAAGTAGAACACGAGCAAGAAGGGCGTTAGTGCTTATCCTCGGCGCCCAAAGACCATTATCGTCAAAAGAGTTAATCCAAGCCCTTGACATGGATTCTAGAGGCGAAATCAGAGCTGGTGGTCTCAAACCGGATACTGTACTGGATGAATGCCAGAACTTTGTTGTCCTTGATCAAGAGCTTGACGTTTTCCGCTTTGCCCACTTATCCGTCAACGACTTTGTAAGAACTCTGTTCTCCGAGGGCGACACACATGCAAATATGGCAGAGATTTGCCTTGAATCTCTTCTTTGGCAGAAATGGCAGGTGGAACTTGTAAAATACGCTCTCCAGTATTGGGATGTCCATATTCGATCATCCAACACAAGCAAGCCAGAATATAGCTTGAAATTAAGAAAGCTACAGGAAGAGCTTTTGCTACCAGGCGAAGGTTTCAGGTCATTTATTTGCACATTGGAAAATTTTAATACGAAGGAGGGCAACAGCCGCTGTTTCGAATTCCGCATAATAGCTAAGGCGGTAAATACACCGTGGGATGTCGCCTGCAGATACGGGCTGGTCGATATGTATCTGCATTTTCTAGATCCGATAAGAAGATCAAAGACTTTTAAAATAAGTATTGAGCGCGGATTGTGCTTCGCGGCAGCTTTCGGTCACGAACATATATCTCAACAAATTCTGATGATATCCAATGTGGATGTCAACACAGGAGGCGGGCCAGTAGTGGGTTGGATACCACTAATTTACGCAGCCTATTTTGGGCATGAGGCGATTGTCAAGATGCTACTCGAGAGGGAGGACATCGATGTCAACTGCAAAGATAGTGATGGAGATACAGCACTCATTTATTCAGCAAAGAATGATCACAAGGCGATTGTCAAGATGCTACTCGAGAGGGAGGACATCGACATCAACTGCAAAGGTAGTGATGGAGATACAGCACTCATTAATGCAGCATGGAATGGGAATGAGGCGATGGTCAAGATGCTACTCGAGAGGGAGGACATCGATGTCAACTGCAAAGATAGTAGGGGATATACAGCACTCATTTTAGCAGCAAAGAATGATCACAAGGCGATTGTCAAGGCGCTACTCGAGAGGGAGGACATCGACATCAACTGTAAAGGTAGTGATGGAGATACAGCACTCATTTTAGCAGCAGTGTATGGGTATGAGGCGATTGTCAAGATGCTACTCGAGAGGGGGGACATCGATGTCAACTGCAAAGATAGTAGGGGATATACAGCACTCATTAATGCAGCAATGAAGGATCACAAGGCGACTGTCAAGATGCTACTCGAGAGGGAGGACATCGATGTCAACTGTAAAGATAGTAATGGAGATACAGCACTCATTTATTCAGCAATGAATGATCACAAGGCGACTGTCAAGATGCTACTCGAGAGGGAGGACATCGATGTCAACTGCAAGGGTAGTAGGGGATATACAGCACTCATTTATTCAGCAATGTATGGGTATGAGGCGATTGTCAAGATGCTACTCGAGAGGGAGGACATCGACATCAACTGCAAAGGTAGTGATGGAGATACAGCACTCATTAATGCAGCATGGAATGGGAATGAGGCGATGGTCAAGATGCTACTCGAGAGGGAGGACATCGATGTCAACTGCAAAGATAGTAGGGGATATACAGCACTCATTTTAGCAGCAAAGAATGATCACAAGGCGATTGTCAAGGCGCTACTCGAGAGGGAGGACATCGACATCAACCACAAGGATAAGGATGGAGATACAGCGCTTGGCCTTGCGATAGGTCGCGGGCAAGAAGAGATCATAGGACTGTTACTTGCTAAGAATGACCTCATCATAGATGAGGATATCGATTTCGAATCATCCTCTCGTTTGTCACAGTCGATAAAAGCCGAATTAGCTGCGAGGTGAATATATCTTTGACAGAATAAGGCACAGTGAAACAGAACTGACTTTCGCCCGACTAGAAGGTCCAAGACAAGGAAGGAGTCCGAGGCGACCGGGGTGGATCGCGTTCCGTTGGATGGATCAGCCTGTTTGGTCGAGGACGCAGAAATGTAGGCCTAGGGAAAGTATGTAGCTGGTAGGATGATGGATTGAGGATCTTGTGGGATGTTTTAAATTCAACACGTGCAAAATTGCGACGGGCGGAGTATTGTGGCCACATGTTGATTGTAGTTGGATGATATTGTATTGCAATTGTACATGTAGTGCGCGCGTACGTGTACTTATACCCTTGTAGTCGATCACCCCAAGAGATGATTCAAAGGTACACATATTTCAGGTTGCTAAGTACACGCTGAACCTTCTTGGGACGATTAAGGATGTATACTTGTACGTGCGTATGCTTTTATACTCGTTAATTAAGCTCATATCATACACCACGACGTGGGGAACTTGTCAACTGTACAGTCCCACACTAGCGGGGGATCAATCCGAAGGTGCCAATTACAAGAAGGTATAAGAATTCACTAAACATCAACGCGGGAGCTTTCGTGGGAAGTGTGCCTTGCGTATGCAGTTGGAAGGAATCTGTTCGTAATACACATCTCTCCAACTTAACCGGCCGGGTCCGCTGAGATCGGTATTATCGTGTGATCGAACCAGCACATAGACTGACTAGCTAGGCAAAACTCATCTCAGAGTTCCCGCTTCAGACCCACCCATGAAACAAACCTCAGACCCCGCCCACAAACCGAGGCCGTTTTATGAACTCCCAGGCCAACATCTAAAAAAGCAACACTGGGACTAGTGATGCATGGACCGAGTGATACTGTATGATTAGAAGCTGTTGCTGGCCGTGGAAAGACTCTATTCTGCTTGCTATACCGCCAACCTACAGGCAAGTAAAAGTGCGATGTCGTCGTAACCTCTATGATGTGCTAGACACGTTCTCGAAGTTACGATTGGGTTGAAAATGTGTATGTGTTAGCATGCAGAATTTCCCTCAGACGGCCAGGCCAGATTAGAACGGTGAAGCTAACCATATTCGGTGGTTACAGATACGCTTTGCTCAACGCTCTCAGTGTTGATTCCACACTGAGTCTCTGCATGAATATCTCTAGTGTGCCATAAGGAACCTAATTAATGATCGATGAGAGAAGGAACATTGAGAGCGTTCAGCGGAGTGTAGCTGTACTTCCTATACGTATACGGTTACCTGTGCTTTTACCGTTCTATTCTAGACTATCTATTTAATCAAGGGATATGTAGTCTTATCGCCGACCAACATATTTTTCGTATATTGCGTCAGTAATTCTTACCGTGCGACCTGGCCAAAGAAGGTAACCAAGGAAAGTGACTGCCCGTGGATTGAGATTGTCGTTTCTTAGCGATTAGCTATAGTTTGAAATTTGCGCACCCCACTCTACACTCATTTACCGACCGCCATCTATTAGCTGCCTAGATATTGACGGATATCTTGAAGTCCTATTTGGCCGGGTTAACATCTCGGCTCAGTTCGATGGCCGAGGCATGGCACACGCCCGCCCCAGGATGTAGTAGTCGTAGCGGAAAATAGTTTAGATAGCCTGTAGCTATAGCAAAGATCTAGGACTCTAGCTCTTCCAAATCAGTCTCGAGTCCGTACGTGTTTACCAGTAAATGAATATCGGAGTGATGGCCCGGCTTGAAGTATGGTAAGCATTTGAGCATTGAGTGCTGCCCGTGTAAAGTCAATTCTATTGAACTTTTGACTTGATGGGAAACGGGTGTGATAGTATTTTTAGATTGATTTAAAGTGAAGGAGCTCCGAGCTCGCGAGTTAGGGGCTTAGGACATGTATTTGCACCCATGGGTCCTGGCGAGAGATCTCTTTCTGAGTTTACCTTATTTTTTCATGAATCGGATGACATACATGTAGACACATAGCAGTACTGACTATTTGTGTAGCTGTCATTAATAGTATGGGAATGCAGAGCCCCGTCCCATTGCAAGCTATTAAAGTTCAAAAGTGGCTTCTATTGTTTGAAACCGCAGCCTAACCCTCGGATATCCGACATGAATATCGTTACCGAGAACACCATCTCCACCTAAAGTTTTACTATATATCGCCAGCATCAGAAAGATTTAAAGTACAAAAAGGTGAGTTGGGCGCTGCCGGCATGCACTTGCTAGCCCACCTAGCTGATTTTACAAGAATTAGAAACTGAAATAACCTTAGAGAAAGTACACCTTTAGCCTCTCGATCTCACTAAATAGCTCACTTTCCCCACCCCGGGCCCAAACAATAAACAACAGCTCTCCTCTCTCAAAGCCTGAAGTTGCCATGGCTTACGCCCCGCCAAGACCGCCTCATCCTGCGCGAGCTGATAACGACTCCCTCGAATCCCTCAGGAAGGAGATATATGGAAGCCCAACAATAGAGACTCTCAAGTCCTGGAAGCGTCGCTGGTATCTTTATTCTTTCAGTACACGTCTACTTACGTACTTCATAGTACTTATGCTTATGCTCCTCGGAGGTATAATTGTTCTCTCTTTGAAGTTTGGAAAACGAGAACATAAGGTCGTTTCAAAAGCGGCAGCAGCTCAACCGGCAAGGGTCTTCCAGTGGTGCTGTGATGGAGTCTTGGAGGTGCCATCCAAACGTAAACCAGTTATATAGGGGACCCAAGAACTGAACGAGGGTCCATGATCCAGAGAAGCGCGCGTTGATGGTGAGAGTCTGAACTTTGAAATATAGTGGGCTCCTTCCTATATTATACCTATATGGCTCCTATATAGCTCCCTATATGTAAGGCTATACTCTATGCAGTCCATGTTTACGGTCTGCATTCCTATATACTACTTATAAGCTAGTTTCAGTTTCACTGCCCGTACGTTTGTTTGATTATCCTCATGCCGTTTGAAACTGGATCTACTCTATCTACTTATGGCGAAATACCTGTGCCTTGAAAACTACATGTAATATTGAAAAGGACTAATGATAAAGATTATTAATAGATTCATGTGTCTCCTTTAATACTTGGCATACAGTGAGCTTGGGGCTCAGGCATCTTGTGTTTTCTGAAAATGATAGCTTCTCCACACCCTACTAAATTGAGGCGGAATAATATAAGGGCATAATAATCGAAAGTTATTACTGGCTAGTATGTGATTCGCAGATTGGATTAGTTGGAGCTCGACCTAAAGACCGAAGATAAGAATATATTTTTTCTAACTACACAAGAATCTAAAATGCAATGTAGCACAGTGAGAATTAATGTTCCCAATTAGAAGAGCCAAGGACCAAGACAAAAAATAAAGACAAAGAAAAACAAGTAGCTGAAGAGCGAGTGATTGAAAAATATCCATCCTCGCACAACCTAACAACCAGACTCCCCGGGTTGGACCATGTCTTGCACTAGCTCACTAAGTCTTTTCTCGATCGAACCCAGTTCTTGGTAAGCTTTCCGAAGTTTAATACTAATCTCGCTCTTTTCCTCCTTCAGTTTCATCAATTGCACTACGTCACTCGCATCTTCATCCATCAAGAATACCAGGTCAGGCGGCTGTTGAACCTTGTTGTAAAGTTCCTCAATCTTTGCTGATAGCTGTCTGGATTGGCACGATAAAGTTGTGATCGCGCTGTAACAGGCTGCTCGCGATCTTGTGAGGAGAATCATCTCGTCTCTGGAGTTCCACCCTGGTTTTTTGTCGCCGGGTTTCATTCTTGTCGTTTGAGTGGGCGAGAGTATAATAATGGTAGTAGAACCAGTTGGTATATATTGAATGTAATAAGATATTGTTAGACGACCGAAAGAGAGTGCTGTGATATCCGGGTATGAGCACAGTGTGGACCTTCTTTTTATAAACACAAGAACGGCCATGGGCTTCTTATAAAGACAGTATGAGTCTTCCCTTCAGATATTTGCCATGGCGCAAACAACTTCAGTTCTACAGGATCTTTACCAGAAAATGTGAGTGGATAGAAAATTGGTCATTATACTGCTGCCACATCCGTCTGGTGAGCCAGAAACATCACCAGACCGGCGTAAAACATCTTCATAGAATGCCTGCTAAAAACCAGATGTGTCACCTGCGAACCGGAGTAGCAAACCACAGGCCCTAGATATAAATAGAGGATAATATCGTGCAATAATTAAGAGCCCGCTCTAGATCTACCAGTCCGCCAGATCACATAGTCTGAACTAACACCGTCGTTCAGCCGCCGAGCCTAAGGTGGGTACCAAGGATGTGTGGCTTTTGCTCACAGATTACATTATCTTCTTATCAAGTAATTGATAGACACTCACTAAAATCCTGAGCCTCTGTAATAGAGTAACGGGCAGCATCACCGGGCGGAGGTGTCGCTTAGCTCTAGCCATAATTAGTTAGGCTGCGAGTGACACCATCGAGTGATGATTGATGATCGAGTGCTCTCATATGAAGGAGAGGGATTGCCAGGCTGTGAACATTTCATTGTTCTGATGTCCTACCGCATAATAGCCCAGACGTAACTGGCCCAATCTCGCCTCCCCAGAGAAAGAGCTACAATTACAGCCCCTTACGGCGATCTTATCTTATCATTACAACAATTTCGTCGTGCTCACCATACTTAGCTCTTTTTTTTTTTTTTTTTTTTTTTTTTGTTTAATTCATTAACCATACTGTAGCTCAAGTGCACTGTTGGATAAGTCCATCTAAAAGCAATAGTCTCATATAACTGGCCCTCATATCCTTGTAATCACGACTCCATTGTAATGTTTTCCTCATAAACAAAATTAATCTAAAAACTGGTACAATACATTATCATCCCGACCCCAGAGCGCCTACTAAGCCTTGCCGGTCTTCTTCGTTTTCTGGACAACAGGAGCTGTCTTCACGGCCTTAAGTGGTTTCTGAACTACAGCCGCCTTCTTCGCAGCTGTCGCGGCTGGTGTCTTCGTAGTCGCGGTAGACTTTTTCGCCGCGGGTGTCTTGGCAGCTGTAGTAGACTTCTTTCCGGCGGTGTTGGGTGTCCTTGTGGGGGTTTTCTTGGCTGCAGTGGTCTTCTTCGCTGCAGTGGTCTTCTTCGCCGCAGTGGTCTTCTTCGCCGTCGTGGTCTTCGCCGCTGTGGTTTTCTTCGCTGCAGTCGTCTTCTTTGCTGCGGTGGTCTTCTTTGCTGCGGTGGTCTTCTTTGCTGCGGTGGTCTTCTTTGCTGCGGTGGTCTTCTTTGCTGCGGTGGTCTTCTTTGCTGCGGTTGTCTTCTTTGCGCGAGTTGTGGGCCCCTTGGAGGGAGTCTTTCTAGCTGTAGTTGGCTTCTTGACTGCAGTCTTCTTTTCCGCGTTGGTAGTCGGCTTCTTGCTCGACGCCTTTTTCGTAGCAGAAGCAGCTTTTTTGACAGCTCCAGGCCTCTTAGTAGCTGTGGTCTTCTTCTTCGTAGCCTGGGATTGCTTTTTGGACGTGACGTTTTTCTTTGCTGCGGCAGAAGGCCTCTTCACAGTAGGCTTCTTGACACTGCCGGTCTTCGTCTTTGTTGCAGAGGCTTTTCCAGCTGTTTTTGCTGTTGTCTTGCTGCCGGCCTTCTTCCGGTTGGGCGCTGATGCCGGTGTCTTCACCTTTGCGGATGCCTTCTTGTTTATGCTCTTGTTAACCTTCTTTGCAGCCTTTGCCTGTGTCTTCTTCGGTGAGGCCTTTGTGCTCGCCCCCTTCCGTGTGCTGGTGGTCTTCTTCGGGGCTGCTTTCAGCGGGCTTCTGCCCGTGCTGGGTTTCACCTTGCGGCCGGTGGGGTTCTTGGCCGCGCTCTTTCCGCCGGCGGCTCCCCTCGAAGCCGTATTGCCGCCTTGGGGTGGCGTCTTGGTTCCCGATCCAGCAGTGGCACCTCTGGACCCCGACCTGGACCCAGAGCTTGGCGGCGTCTTATTGCCCGAACCTGCAGTCCCGGACCCGGACCCGGACCCGGCACCCGATCCAGCCGCATTCCCGCCTGCACCTGTGCCTCTGCCCGACGATGGCGAGGGGCTTCTGCTCCTGCTCGGGCCCCTCGGATTGCTACCACCTCCCGGCGACGGCGGCGGGCTCTTATTCTGCGCCCTCCCCCTCTGGCTGGTCCCGCCGGGGGACAGCGGGCTCTCCGGCCTCGGGACAGTGCTCCCTCCCGCGCCCTGTGGCGGATCACCCTCCTTCCAGACCCTCGCCTTCGCCTGCGTGTCCGGGTTCACCTTGATGATCTCGGTCACCTTCTTCTCCTTGTCCGGGTCCGTCAGCGTCGGCAGCTCCGTCTTGTGGTATATCGTGTTCTCCAGCCGCTGCTGGATGACGTCGGGGCTCTCCGTCTTGGGGTCGCCCATCTGCCCCGACAGCACATGCACGCGCCCGGAGGCCTCGAGCGCGTACTGCTTCGACGCGTTGTCCCACCAGGGGAGGCCGGGGTCTTTTCCTGGTGGGGCGCCGTCCTTGACGTCGTTCTTGGACTTGAGCTGCCCGATGGTTTCGAGGCCGTTGGCGGTGGCGTAGGCGTCGGCGGGCTTTTCGAGGCCTTCGCCGGCGGCGGTGCGGCCGTGCCAGAAGAGGGAGCCATCTGGAGGGGTGGAGAGCTTCTGGCGGAGGACGGGATCAGGGTCGGGGCCGTCGACGCGGCGGACGAGGGTGGTGGGGAAGGCGGTGGTGAGGGGGAGTAGGAGGAGGAGGAGGAAAGAGGCGAGGGGGAGGCGCATTGTGGGTAACTAGGGCGGTTTGGGGGGGGGGGGGGTGATAAAATGAGTGTAAGTGACGGCCGGCGTCGGGACAGAAGGAAAGTTCAAAGGAATGTGAGGGAGGCCGAGCTCCAGAGAGTGCAGATGCTGTGCTTGCTGGACAGAAGCTTTCGGGGCCTCTGTGCAGAGCTATATATCATGTCGTGAGACTCTGCCCGGTGAAAGCTTGGTTGACGAGAATTGAAAACCATTTCCCGCCATGGGTCAATGACCGCTGCAGAGGTTTCGCAACCCTTTGCTCGTGAGGTGAGGAATTATTCCCACCACGTGTTATTCCCGGTGGTGGTTTAAGATGTTTCTTTGCATCTTTGTTTCCGGACATTATCCGCTGCTATTTCCAGACCGTGGAGACATTCGGACCCCGTGGGCATCGTTTGGGCCTGTCCCTTTCCCCGTCGTCCAAGGGATGGATGTGCATATGCAGGGAGACCTGGAGAACCGGGGCTCGAGCTGGAGAACTGACAACTCGGATTCTTCAGCATCTCCCGAGAAACGCCTTACCGGCTGGTCGCCCGGCCAGCACAAACCACATTTGACCAGACTCATGTAACCATAGTCAAGAGACACGGAGGCGATGGGCTCCTCCAGCGCATAGGCCAGCGTTTGCATATATCTTGCCATTAGGTAACAGCGGGCGGAGGGCAGACTCGACATCCGCTGGGAGCCGAACCCGGTCGATAAGCATATCCTCGATCGACCCTGGGGAGCATCAGACAGTAGGTGCTGCTCTAGGATGTCCGCCTTCCCACCCAGCACAGTCGAGCATGGTAGTAGGCCCGGGGGGGAGGGGGGGGGGTGAATGGTGAACACAATAAGTGGGGTTGTATATATCTGCAGACTGCTGCTGCTCGCATGTACCTGCTGCCGGTCAGACCATCCCGGCCAGTGATTTGCACATGGGAAACAAGCGACTCACCTTCCGCTAAATGCCTAAGGGGGTGCCAACCCAGTAATATAAGGCACGAGAAGATCTAGAGGAGATGTATCTCAGCTGGAACGGTGCGGGTAGCTGTAATATAAGCCCGTCTGTGCTGCGTTCATGCTCAGTGCCGGTGGCCATGGTGTTGACGAGGTTGACAGGCCAAGAATAGTCTGTGCTTCTTCTTCTTCTTCTCCTCTTCTTCCTCTTCTCCTGGGGTCCGTCTTCTCGAGTTCTTCTTCGCTGGCTGCTCTCCTTGTCTGGCTGCTCTCCTTCTCTGTCGGCCCTTCTTCGCGCTCCTTCCTCTTGCGGGCGGGGCTGACCGGGTTTCATCGTGGGCGGCGCGGGATATATAGCATCTGAACCCAAGGCATCCCCTGCGGCCGAGTCTTGGCACGGCTTGTGTAACGACGACATGCCCTGTCTAGGTGAGCCTGCATCACAAAATATCACTCGTCTTAGCATCCGATACCGCTATCGTGCGTTGAAGCTAGGAGGTACATGTACATGTACATGTATATATGTATTGTCCCGACTGAGTTACGAGTATCTTGATATCTACATCGATGAAGAAGAGACTCTTAGGGTTTATGCTGCTTTGACTCTTTAATTAGATTCACGTACGCACTTTAGTTCAATCACTGCACAAGTGTACATGTCATGCCTACATAAGCTTCACGCAATATTCTATTCGAGGTAAATTTCAAGAAGTGGATTCGACACAAATTTCAAGTACATTCAAGTAAGTACATGTATCCCTCATTAAAATCTCTAAAAACTCTTTACAAATCTCCGACTTCAGCCAAAAGGAACCACCAACAAATTGAATACCAATGCCAAGATTTAGAGTGGGTTTGTAGCGACGATAGATCAATTATCAACGTTGATAAACGCCCTTATTAACCTGTCGCCGATTGTGACCGCCACGACTGCCATTCTCTTCGATTGTTCCTTTTTTCGTCCCAGGTATACCTTCCCATGATTCCTTGCGGCTTTAAACCAGGCCTTTACAGATCCAAACTTCGGTTGGTGGTGAACGGACTGGACAAGTGGTTGGTGATTTAGGTTACCTGTTGCGCTGTAGATATAGACAATATCCACTTTAGGCGCGTGCGGGGGAAGTAATCGTCTCCGTAGTTTGATGATACGGCCTTACGTTTCGCAGGGACGAGTACAGTTAGAATTGAAAACATTGCTGTTAGGAGAAGATGAAATCGCACCTTTCACTTTTTTCGCAAATTTCTCGATAGATATGATTGAGCTTTTGTAAAAGGCTGTATTGGCAAGGCCTGGATACCTGGAGATGAAAATGTAGATGGTTGGCACTAGAGGTAAGTTCTCCTCTAAAACATCCACCCGTTTTCCTTCTGGTTTTTCAATCACCTCAAACCCTTTCGAATACTGAATGGTCGCGGCAGAAAACCGCTCCTCAATGAAGGTCGGGTTGGTCCACTCCTCGTAGTCGATTGTTCGATCAGCGGCATACGCATATACCGAATGAGAGTTGGTCATGAACATCAAGTAAAGAAGAAACAAGGTGAAAGAAAGAAGGAATCGAAGGTTGTTGAGTGATAGCATGTTGAGAATTATAAGGTTATGAGAGCTAGATGTTTGATAATAATAGGTTGATTTGTAATGATGTTGATGTGTGGAGAGATGGAAAAGCAGACGTACGAAAAAAACCAATTTATAGCCCTGCACCACGAGCACTGGATGGCCTCCAAGGTTCGAAAATCTCGTGGAGCCACATTTTGAGACCCATTCAAAACACAGACCTCGTATATATCTGCGGTTAATTGTGAATTTGGAATTTCTTTCGACCTGCCTTGGAGCGTTCGCGTACTATCGATAGACGTACTTACTCTTCGACCCGCCCTTGGTGTTGATCTAGCGACACGTGTATGTATACTTTGTAACTTTTGCCGCGGGATTTTCATGTCGGAGTCTGGTGGGGTCTTAATTCTTTATGCACATTGAGTCCCAACAACAGCTCTCCGAGCTCCGACAGCAGCTTCTCCGATATCAATCAGAGAGCTCTCGATTAATTACAACTAATCTCAAAATTATAGCGGCTCCGGGAGGAAATATAATCAATCATGGCGAATCGAAGATTCAACGTAGACGATACAATCTTGATCGAAGCCGGGGTAGTGTTTCCGGTCGGCGGGGAGGTAATTTTTTGTACCAATTGTCGGCGTTTGGATGACCTTGATGTATAATCTTACCGAAGAAGAAGCAGATTTTGCGATAGGCTAACGATTTGGCTGGATTTATTCAAAGCTACACCCAGGATGAAGGTGAATATATATACAGGTGGAACAAAGGGAATATTTGTGCTAGAACTAGAACCTGATAGTTTAAAACGTGAATTATGAAAGCGATGGGAATACGAAGTTTCTGCAGATATCCGGGGGACTACAAGAAAATGCCGATAGCAAATGAACGTACGATGGAAAGAAGAAATCGCAAACAGCCCGCTGCACCGAATGGGTGTGTGCACAGTCTTTCCGGGCTTTCGGGATAAGAGGAATTCCAAGGAAATAGATCGAAAGGAGAATCAAATCAAATAAAGGGGTAAGGATGGAATTTCAAGAGCGGGAGAAGTTGACAGATCTCCTAGAGGCTGTTCTATGCGTCGATATGACATGGAACAATATCCCCCACATATGGGAGGTGTGCCAACTAGTTAGGCTTCTTTCATGATCCATCTCCCTTGCATACAGAAAGAAATAGTTGATCAAACTAGAACTACCAGTCAACATAATCTAAGAAGATATTCGGTACCGTAGCTCAGATTCAAACCGCAAGTCCTCAGTCAAAGGTAGCGTGACAAGAAAGTCACAACCTTCTGGTACCCCTCATCCGCTGCTGCGACCACGCCAAAGAGGTTTTGCACCTCCACCTTCTCAGGATCGGCTGGGTGCGTTTCGGAAGAAATGTAAGTGGCTTCCAAGTCCTTTAGCTTCCCGATGGCTGGAGCTATCTTCTTGACCAGGTGCTGAAGATCTGTCAGCTCCTGTTTGGCAAGACGGGCATTTGCTTCCTCGATCCTCCGGAGGTCCCGCAACCCCAAGATTCTCTTTTCGGCTGCTTCAAGGTCCCCCATCGCGACTTTGACGTTTCGAAGGATAGCTTCTAATGAATTCATTTCCATCGAGGCGCGAGAGAGGAATATCGCTGTGGGCGAATCCTCCTTGGTGGACACTACCGGCGAACTGGTCATTTTTGCTTGAGCGTTCGAGGTACTTCCTCTTGCTGTGTTTCTAGGTGAATATTCGCGTCGATAGTCAATCTGAAGGTGAGGGTAGAGTTGGTAGGTTGAAGGAGGAAGAGGGTTTCAGAGATACATATACGCTCATGGGTTCACCTTCCTTGCGATGATCATACGACTGTTCTATCCTGTGTGAGTCATGAGTAGGTATACCCTGAGCTTTTAGCAATCAAATCGTTTGTACTCAAAACCTTACTCTGAGCAGGATGCTACCAACGAATGTGCTCTGGTGTCCCTTATAGAGACTAATCGCTTATCGGCGGTTCATGACAGGATATATGTCAACAGCATGTACCGGTGAATTTAGGAACTAAGCTAACATGCATACTTCCGAGAATTATTCCCTGACCCGATTGTCGATTACCAGAGATGGCATGTGGGGCTTGTGCTCTCTTCGAGATGCCCCAACCAACCACACACATGCTCATGATCATGCAAGTCTCGCCAAGTACTGTTATCAAAAGAAGACCCAATGAGATTCGCACGCGGAGTTGGACGTCCTAGAGTACTAGAGAGTGTAATTCTGGTTACACAGCCGAACATTGAGATCGAGAGCATGATGATGACTTCTCGTGAGCACGAGTGTACATGGTATATAGTGATTCTCAAATCTGGTCACGCGAATCCTTTGAGGATATGTCTGGGGCAGCAGTAATCAATAATATATTGGGACAAGCATTAAAAATCTGGGATCAGGTTAAAGTACTATTAGATGCCGAATGTCGCTGGAAGCTGGCAGCTATATAGAGATGTAGACGCTCACTCGACTCGATCTTTCAAGTGGCATTCACACCATATACGTCGATAGATTTACATGCACCTATCTACAAGTACCTACATATATCCTAGCTACATGTACGTACATGTACGTACACAATACATTGTTGACAGCTAGCCGAAGGGATGGAATGGAGGTGTTTCTAAGCGTTCTTCTCATCCCTGCGATTATTGGATTAAGCTTGATTTTTGAGAGGACACTTATAGCCGGCTGCGTCATCAACCACAGCATCAATCTACTTCATGTCCTCTGGCTCTCACCTGTCGACTCTCGATACGTCAAGCTCAGGATACGGGGAGACCCCTCCTTCGTCTCGCCAACACATCTCATGCTCACGAACACCTGCATGCGTGTTGCACTCCTAAACGAAAGGTTCGCTTCCTTCAGACCACCAGCTGTTTGTGTGCTGTAAGAGGGAAGCTAGGTACCGGTTGATTTTTGAATCTTCAGCTCAAGCTGGGGACTTCAAACCCCACACCAACCATTACCATGAACGATTCTGCCTGTTCAACTAGGACTCCGTTCCCTTTGGGTGGATCTCGCGTCTCTTTCCGGAACGTCTACAGCTTTTGAAGGATATCCCCCAATGCCCGCCCGAATATACCGGCCTGAGAAACTTGACCCCACATTCCAGTTCGTGGGAAGTGAGCCTTCGTTTATCCAAAAGGGGGCTTTGACAAGTTCAACACCCTTGGTGGATACTTCGAGCACTATGTCGGATTGTTTGGCTCTCGCAGCCGAAGGTATACGTTCAGGCTTTTCTTGCCTTGCACTCGGTAAATGCTCCCGATAGGACTTCAAGATGAGTGCTCTTCCAGGTCTACAAGCTATCTATAGAGTCTCTGGTTTAACCCTCTTTTTTGAAAATGACAAGATAGATGATTGGCAGGTAACATCCATGTGTTCGGGAGTTATCCCATCAACTGAAGACGGCGAGCTAGTTCTATAAGCGACTGCAGGCAAATTGCAATTAGCATGCTAATCCCCGCCTGATTTGTATGGATGGAGTAATTTAGGAGATGTCGAATTTACCTACTCGCATTTTCATCCAACCGCCAGGCGATGATTTATAAGCGGCGGTTCGCGAGTGATAATTCATGACGCTAGTCGAACGAGTCCGGTATAGAGGAAGTAGAATAGACAACCGGACGCATGATCGATAAATTTTCCCAAGGTTTCTCCCAGATACCTTGACCTTCATGCAGATTAGGCTGTACCACTGACCATGGATATATGACAGTTCTCGTCCGGAGGGGAGTGGGTGGGACGGAGGATACTATGGCGGTGGCGTTACATGACGGGTGTTCCTCATCTTTGTTGGTCGCGGCGTCTACACATGTCCTCTTGCGCCCAAAGGTGAAGAGAGCAGGCAAATTAAGAATGCTGTGCCGGTACTTTAGGGGCGCGAGAAAGCGTAGATTTACCTGGGGAAACCGCTGGGCGTCGAGGTTCCGGATGTGGGATCCTCAAAAACACTCTTTTATCATCATGGATAAAGCTCTCTGGCCTGGCTTGAGGAGGCAATAACCACCATTGTTCGACCAACCCAAGAAGACCAGGCCTCTGCAGTGCTGATGGCCTCCGATACCAGAGCTCATCGCCGTCGTCACTGTACTGGATATTGAGAATAATCGGCTCGGCAATGTCGAGCTACTTATTCCACCAAAAGCCATAAACCATGGCCGCAATGAGTATATGGATCAGTACGTGTAATTCAAGAAGAGCCGTTGGTAAGGTCTATATCCGTCACCAAAGTAACTGCAGCACAAGTCAGCCAACCTATCCACACCCAACGAGCTTTGCAATCATATCGGGCTTTCCTTTTTCAAGGATGCCTTGACGTTCGACCTTCGATCGCAGTTCTTCAGGATCTCGTCGAAACTCCGCAAAGAATTGTTCCACGCTGATGTTCTCTCCACAGGGTCGGAATAACCCTCTCTGAATCACAAAGAAGCAAACTTTTCCGAAAGCGTTCTCATCTACTCGCCAGCCACGGGTCTTTAGGCAATGGTGGACAGGCTTCCAGACATTACCGTCCCACCATATCTTCAGCCTACCAGGAGTCAGTAGCTCTATCACTGCTTCGGCGGTCTTTAGCTTTCGTGGATCTGTCTTCTCGTGTTTGACTGTAGTATCAATTGGTGCAGGTTTCCGCGGATCTATGGCCTCTTCAGTTAAGCTGACCGCACACTCTACTATCTCGGGTATGCGCGATACACTATTCAAGTGTGGTGCCCTTAACAACCTTGGGTCAAGTGCTCTTGCCGTAGCTGCCCTCACATCTCCTTCTTAGCTCGAAATATAGGCCTGATAAACCAGCGCTCGATGGAGTCGTCTGGTTTGTTCCCATTCTGTCTAGGCGGCCGAAACCACCTCATCCGGGATTAAAAGTGCTTTGAGGGTCCATTCGACCTTCTTCATAAACTTCACGAATCTGCTGGCCCCCGGAGTACCTTAGGGTGAATAGCAGTCCATACACAAAGACCCAAGGTTACGCCAAATGTAGTGATGATACTAAACTTGCCACGGCCGCGTGGTTCGGACTGCCAGCCAACCAGTATAGCAGATTGCTCTGGAACCTGGGGGATGGGGGTGGCGGATATGTTGACGATTAAAAACAGTGCAAGGAGGATTCTTGACGCCATTTGCATGGCCAAAACTAAGATTTATCGTGCTATTCGGACTCCGTTAGCACAGCTCCGGTGGTTTATTGTACTTGTGAAATATAGGCAATAGTGGATACTCACCACCCACCAAAGAGAGTTCAGAGTTGAACTTCATTTTCTCGGGATACGGAAACTCGAGGATAGGAAGAAAGGCTGCTTCGGTTTTGCATTCGGGGTGTCTATTTGAGGTGATATGATGTTAAGCGCCGTGGATATGTATAAGAGAACTTCTCCACGGAGCTAGGCCAACGCCGTATGGATGGAGCAGGCAGTTAGCGGCTGGGGTGCTAATAGTCGACAATTACTTGTTTAGGGCCCCTTTGGCAGCCGTCCAAAACGGAATTATGGGACTTGAAACTCCGTTCTGGTGAAAGCTCCGTTCTGAGAAAACTAGTTGTGTTTGGCAACACATTTTGCGGGTCCAGAAAACAACGTTAACTCCATGAAAACGGAGGTTTTAAAAGGTAACTCGGACTTACTTTTTCTTATCACAATCTTTCGCCATCATCCTAGTCTCGTTGTGTAAGAACACCATCAATACCACAGTCTCCCAAACAGTACATCACGCTTAAAACTCCGTTTTCGAATTTCTCCGTTCCCTCCCCCCCCCCCCCCCTCTCCGGCCAAACTACCGGAGGGCTAAACAAAACGGATCTTCCTATAATCTCGGCTCCCAAACGGTCCCTTATATAATTTGGTGGTGACTATCGGGTATGTACTTATATATTCTTACACTCTAGCTGACCCAAATGTATACCACATGTATAGACTGTGGCGACAGAGATGTATCGCTGGAAATCACAAGGCTATAGCTAGGGATAGGGTCTAGGTTGGTTCCCGATTCCATGCTACTGAGCTATGAGGCTGATCCAGATCGATTATGATACACGTACGTGTGGGTGAAAAAGAAAGTAAAGGTACTATAAATTCTACCGCTTTCAGGCTAGAATTGTGCTTCTACGACAGAGTCACGGGAAACTCTGCTTTACTTTTATTCTGTAGTATCAGGCATTGATGTTTATGCCTTTCTGCTGACAATTTTACAAATTATACTGACGAGGCTTTATCTTGTATTAGGGCAACACTCTCGGCGTTTCCTGGGTTAGGGACTCAAGCGGGAAAGAGCCTGGAATTAAGTTAACGTTGGCTGTAGGTACATAAGCAGAGCAGTGATTTCAAGATTGCCGCCAGTGCCTTTTCAGGCTCGTGCAAACTGACATACTCATAGTCTAGGGATTGTGGGGTTTGGACTGTCGATTAGCCCTGCTGGGTTACAACTCTCCCCGGTTGATTCGGGTCACATTCTTCACCTATTCAAGAGCCTTATAGTTGATATTTTGGCCTTCGGGACATAGATATTACAGTTCGTCCCAGTACCAGGGGAATTCGAGGTCCACTTGACGCATTTTATACCGATACAAGTGCTAGATCATTAGAGAGATTGATCCCCTGACAGACAGAAAAAAGTAGAAACCGCTGTAGATACTGGTGCAACGGAGAGACCGCCTTCCCTGAACCGTGGCTTTGATTGGGACAGCGTTTCTGGTAATGTAGAGGTCGGTATAAATGCAAATTGCGCACATGAGCAGTCAGTTAACTCCACTCAAGGACTAGATGTGCTTAGCGCCATAACTCCACTTGCACGAAGCCTACAAGTTAAAGGCTCGGTGGTAAAATTAGTCATGCATTGAGAGGATAATCTATCAGTAGGATAGGGAAAATTGAGTCGATGGTACCAGCGACTAGGAGTAGATGTCCTTATTATTGAGCATAGGGTCTTTGCTGGACTGATACCCGGACTCGTTATTGCATTTGTTTGACGTGACGACATCGGTAGTTTCAAGCTTGTAAATTCCTCTAGGAGGTATGGAAATGTATCGGTAAATGCATCAGGAAACGAATCAGTAAATGCATCAGTAAATGTGCTTTAAGGGGAAGAAAGCACATTTCGCTCAGAGAAAAAGAGTAAAAGAGTACGTCATGGATCGAACCTCTACTTATTAGCCTACTAAGCTAGCTAGTATATATTCTCATCAGCCTTGTTATGTAAAGCGCAAGTGGTCAACGTATACGTAGCAACGCAGACGATGTGAACCTGTCAGGGAACAAAATTGTGGCCTTCTCTTGAAGATAAGTATTCTTAGTAACTCCTCGATTGATAGATCTAGCAGCGGATTCACCCTGATATATACAAAGACCACGAATACATGTACATGTAGTCATGCATGAATCGCGGCGCGATGATTTTAGGCCAGACTCATATTGCTTATAACACCTATACAAGGAACCATAATAGTATGCGTATAGAGGGAAAGGTATCAAATCTAAAATTGCAACGTATGTTGAAAATTCAATGATGGACAAAGGCTTTACGCGCTACTTAACGGGCATCTCGGAAGCTGCTGGAGCGTCATAAACCAACAACATCATTCCCCATTGAACGAGGATGGAACATAACGATATCGCCATGACCGGACCACCTCCCGGAACAAGCCTTGATGCCGACGACTACAGCTTCGGGGAAACCTCATCAACTCTTATGAATGCAAAGTTATCCTTGCACACCTTAATCGCTTCAGACTTCACCGGGGTTGATCCCTACAGCTTTCAGGAAAATCACCTCCAGACTATGAGAGTGCTGTGGGAAGAAACGCCGCCTAGTTCCAGATACCATTACCGCGTTAGGAGGCGTGTGGAGCAATGGTTCATTACCATTGGCCAAGTCAGAGACTTCGCTGTCAATCATAACATCAGATGTTCACGCTTGGAAGAGGCACAATACCGGGAGATAGTGAGGCTAAGAATTGCGGTGCATTCCGACCAGGACAAGGGTCAAGTAATAAAGGACCGAATGATTATCCTGGGATACGGAGGGATGGATATTTTGGTTCCCGTTACCGGGGTTGAGGGGGACCCTCCCATCGAGTCAATCGACTTCATGAGCATCAGGGCCGCGCACCTACTCCTGGTAGCGGCATGGAACAACTTGGGGAGGGAGCTTCAAGTGGTTCGCCGTGTTGAAGGACTCGAGCGCATTTTTGGTTCCAATTCACTTACTGAGGAGGAGACGCATCTTTCCGTTGCAATCTTGGCATATTGGCTTGCCGAAGTAGACCTGGCATACGGGGAACTATATCCCGACCGACCCTACAATTACGCTGAACTAGTGGAGGGCTGTTGAACGTCAAGTTCGGAGTTAGTACTTGTTCGAATAGGCTCATAACGTTTTGGTCAGATTTGCTTTTGCACGCGTGCATCCCATGGCGCTAAAGTTGTATACTTTTTGTCAGATTTGAGGGATTTGTGTATGTATGGGTAATTCTCCTCATCAACTGTTGTTGTTTAAAACCAAATTGAGATTTCTTTATATATCGCCTTTCCATTCTCCGTGTCACTTGTTATCATTTACACCGTGGTTACCACGATTTATGATCAGATCTTCAACCCCGATGAAATTACACGTATCGAGTTTATGGATCTGTTCTTTCAAAAATACTAACTAAAAGTGTTAAATGCCAAGACACGAATCCCGGGCTTGATCGAAAAGAACACCCTTGGAGAAACTGATCGAGTGATAATCCATGAATTGACCGAGTGATAAACCATGATGATACATCGAACGGTATGCACAGGGGCAAGGCTAGGGTTCTAGGAGATTCTTGATGATTCATATATAGTGGACGGATATAACTGCAAGGTCAGTTGCGAGGATATGTAATGCAGCTGTGTGGCCTTGCAGCTTCGTTGTGGATTGCCAACTGTGGTCGTTGTCGGTTTTCTCGAGAGTAAAGACACGGATCCTGTTTCTTTGCAACCGCAAGGGCTTGTGGGCTCTTTCATGAGAAGTTCCGACGGCCGCATGGACTTGTTGTAATAGACATTGACTGCGCAGCTGCTCCTTTGCTGCTCAGCCGGTAAAGATGGCTTGTTGCCCTGTCTTCGTCTCCTGTGTCGCTGTCTTGTTTTTGTTCTTTCGAATGGATGATCTATGGCTTCTTCCCCTCATTACTTTTCTTTTTTTTTTTCTTTCTTCTTTCTTACTTACAAGGCGCTGAATATCATCTCTGTACGAGAGCAAGCGTCGCCCTCGATAGAAGCGCTGACATAGAGGTAGGAAGAAACCGGGCGACTCGTGGTGCGCAATATGCGGCCAGCTCTGTAAATAGCAAGATCACGGTACTAGTACTATGCCCATCGATCCAGCCCAATGGGCGAGATCAGACTATACCCCTTTGCCGAATAACCTCGCGCCCACTGAACATCCCGCTGACCCAGGCCCGAGATTCTGGAAATCATATATATACATGCACACTTGGTTCTGCGTGCCGGGATTTGTACTCCCGCCCGGGGTTGCGCGTGGTCGCTTTGCAGTAACGGCCGAGACGGTGTCGACGCGGCAACCAATAAATACATAACTCTGTCTTACCGAAGCCACCACACTGTACATACTAGCGATGCGCAGGGAGATCTTCGGGAGTAGGCTATCTGGCTCCAGCCTCCCGCGGGTAAGGGAGAGAGTACGGTGCAGGGTCGAGTATAGTGCGCACGTGCAAATAGTTAGTACGTGAGTTATATACACACATGTATTGTACATATCTTCGGCAGTGGGATTATCTAGATCTCGAGGTGGCTTATAGATAGATGCATACACGGTAATTGATGTTACATGCTTAATTATTCTACTCGACTTCGTATCAGATCCGGGCTCCCGTCGGGGGGAGGACAGCCAAGGAATAGGCCATGAAGTCTATTACATACATACTTGGGAGTATCTATATCCATACATGTACACATGTATATAACGAGGTGGACATGGGTATTCACATTCACATGGCATGCATGCTGATCCGTGATGGTGTGCAACTCCTGGCCTTGCCTTGGCCGCGGAACACCCCGTCATGGCCTATCACTCGGTCGCCAAGATTGAGGTTTGGCTGGTTTTCTATGTAACCGTCTGGATCTTATGTGGAAATCCACGTCGATAAACACACGTCATATAATTAATGGGCAAGTTGCCCACTTGCATGTCTATCCTATGATTCCTATCCCATGGACCGGAGCGAGTTTTGCACCAAATTTAGTGCAAAAAATCGAACCCGCTATTACCCCCCCAGCCCTTGATAAATAATATTCGAGGAATAGAATAATTACATTTTATGAAATTCAGTGAAACAATTGCGGCTAGCTACCATACAGAGTGATACCTCACATGTTGGGCAACGCCATTGACTTTTATGTCCCCTCCCCCCTGGGCTAGTCCCAGTCTTCGCTGCCTCCTTCAATTTATATCTACACAACCAACACTCATCATGACCTTGAAAGGGCTCGGGTAGATGCTCTCCATCGCCTCTAGAAGGAGGTAGCATAGTTGAATTTGTCACATACTTGAGTTTTTTGGAGCTTGTTTCAGCAAGAGTTGTGGTTGTTGACTTGCGCTTCCCAATATTTCCTCCTTCAACCTCCCCCACTCGTGACCCTTTCAGAATGAGATCCCAAGCTACTTGTAGGCGGAACTGCTTGTGCTCAATAGATGCAATGGTTGACAGTATATGGAATCCGTTGATGAGCATTGTGTCTAGAATCCAAAAGAAAATTGGGAACCATGTCCGGAATGTTGTCAACTGGGTATCATAGTACGTCCTATATTGATTAGCAATATCTACCCCACCCATATGGTGGTTGTATTCATTGAAAGGTGCGGGGATCTCTAGCTCTTTCTCTTGGTTGTCTCCAAGTTCTGCTAGTGCTTGTTTATTATTAGTACTTTTCCCTCTGGGTCGTTTCCTCATTTTCATCACAGCCGCTTGCTCCCCCTTCAGATAATGTATTGTAGTCATCATTGTTACCGGGGCATTATCAAACCATAGTAAAACCCCTACCCCTCTAATTACCATTCCTGCACTAAAGTGGTAAGGAACCTTCCCTACATCTTTCTTCGGTATTGCAAGAATTTGGGGGAAATCCTTTGAACTGGGCCTAGCTGTACCACATGCACCCACATCCAACCGCTCCCTCAACATCCCCAACAATGGGAGACTCGTATAATAATTGTCAAAGTATATATGCCATGTTTTCCTTTTTAGTAGCTTGCTTGCAAGAAAGTATACCACTTCTCCAGTTGGTGTCAATCTCTCAATGGCAGGTACGGGATCAGGCCCAGCCTGATTAGAGTTGGGATGGAAATCCCATATATACCCATGATCTGCGAGACAATGAAACTTAAAGCCATGTTCTATTGGCTTGCTGGGCATCTTATAGGTATCCAATGAGCGACCAGTACATCTGATCATAGCCTCATCAATGCTGATATTTGTACTGGGTACCCGGTAGGCCTGAGAAGATTTGCGCAGTTGATCAAGCAAAATATCAATTTTTCCATGCCAGAGGTGGCGTCCATCTGTTGTATGGGTTGGGATATTGACTGGGGATACATGTAGATAGCGCTTGATTTGCTCAAACCTAGTCAGGCTCATGTATTTGGTGATAGGGTGGAGTGGATGAAGCCCGTCATGCTTCCAATAATCCTCCAAAGCAGGTGACTTAAATATTCCCATATATATACAGATACCAATCCATACCCATAGCTCTTTGGCAGATATATCTACCCAGGTCCTTCCAGGAGCTGGTGGGTCCTCCCTCTTGGATCTCGCATATGAATTGGTGTTGGTAGCCAGAGTATCAAATAGCGCATCTGGGAAGAACAATTTGAATATTAAAATGGGGGTAACTGCCAACCCATTGAGAGAAGGGGGTAATCGATTGTAGGCAGCGTGAACAGGATAGTATTCTTTCATTGGAGTGAATTCTGGGACTGCAGGTAGTCTGTCCTGCAGTGGAGAAGGATTCTCCTCCAGCCTCGGCACCGAGTGATATTTCGTGATCGAGCGGATTGTTGGCTTTTGGGGTTTATTGACAGCCTTATGGACTTCTGATGGGCCTGAGGCTTCCTGATCTGAATCTACCACATATGATAGTGGCTTTGGCCTAGGCCGCAATACTCTGTCACCCATTGATACCAAGATATATGTATGTTTGTCAGATGTAGTAGGTATATATGAGGGGCTTGGAAGAATTGAGATTGTGAATTGGTTAGGCTTAGAGAGTAAGTTTTGAGGGTGCAGATAGAAGGAGGTGATAGTAGGGATCAAAATAAGCCCTAAATCGTGGGGATTGGATAGGAATTGGCTGAGTATTACTAAAATCACTCTAGTAGTATCTGTGTATCGCTGTCTGATAAAATTCCAGGAATCATACAACTATACCCAAGGTTTTTATAGTCAAAAAAATTCTAAAAAATTCGAATAAAAAAGTGATGTCATTGCTTGTAATCTAAATGTCATTATGATTATTACAGACTAGGGGTGAAGAGGGGTAGATAGCTTTTAGTTGACCACAGCGTTGTCATGACATAATTTTTGCACGAAATTTAGTGCAAAATCGTCACATTACGGTCCATGGGATAGGAAACGCTGCAATACTACACAAGTATGTGCTGACTGCATTTATTTACTTTAGCTCCCCCGCTGTAACCGTTTGTTTGGAACGTGTCTGCGATTGAAAATGGATATTCATCATGTAACATCAGATAAACAGGCACGTCTTGCTAATCCTGCGAACACGAATATCGAGATCTCACCCGTGGAGAACCCACCCAGCCCGCACATTGCTCGTAACTACACAATTAATTGTCCGCACAGCACCAACCACGGCAAGGTGAGATGTGTGCGCTGCACTACGAGTTCTCACCGCTTCTTCTTTTTTAAGACCAGCTGTAAGTGTGTACCTGCCCGCATTGGCAACCCAGGAAGGCTGAATTAAGCACCGTCACAAAATTGAGTTCCATGCCAATATTATCCTTGTAACGCTCAGAGCGTGTTGAAACAACTTCCCTAGGTGCGGCGTTTGGTTAACTCCGCTGCCAATGCCCGCCGGTCGCTCTATTTGCCCGCCGGGCGAACTGATTACCGCCAAGCCCGGTCAGGGCTAGGGTTAATATTCGAATAGTTAGCCTTGACAAACTCGATAAGGGCTGTAATAGTTGCTTACTATTAACTGCCGGATTGCCGCTGCAGCGATGTAAGGCCTAAATCTGTTTCGGAACGCCGGCCAGTTCAGCTATCTGACGAATTGTCGACTGTCTTTCAACAACTCCGCGGTGCACTGGCATGATCGACTGTCGGTATGGGATGCGCTGTGATTCGACATATAAGGCCCCATTGGCAGAAGGATCAGGTCCAGAGTAGGAACATCTCACCGCTCTGAGAGTTCTATCGATATTCAACTGCTCATTCCGAGTCCATAAATCATGCAAATCAGCCCCAAACATCTCAAACCAGAACATTAGCAACACCCTCATCACAATGGTCCATATAGCTCTCGCAGGTGCCAGTGGCTCCCTTGGGAAACTCCTGCTCAACCACCTCAGTGCCCATCCATCCGCCCACAGAATCACCGTTCTCTCCCGCTCCCCCACCCCTCCAAAACACACAAACCCCAACATCACAGTCCGCACCGTGGACTACACCTCCCTCTCCTCCCTCACTGAAGCCCTCGCCGGTGTCCATACCGTCATATCCACCCTCTCGTCCCTCTCCTCCGGCCCGGCCCAGATACTGCTGATCCAAGCTGCAGCGGCCGCCGGGGTGAAGCGCTTCGCACCCTCCGAGTGGAGCATCCACCCGGACCTGAACTACGACCTCACTCTGTACACCGACATCAAGGCGCCCTCTTGGGAGGCTGTCAAGGCCTCAGGTATGCAGTACACGGCACTTGAGAGCGGGGTGTTTCTGAACTATATGGCGTATGGGAGCCCTAAGCCGGGAGCGCGGGAGAAGGCTTTCAAGGGACTTCAATATACGCCGTGGATCTTTGATCCGACGTTGGATACAATCGAGGTACCGGGAACGGGGGAGGAGAGGTTCGCGGTGACGGAGGTGGAGGATGTCGCGAGAGTTGTGGCGGACGTGGTGGGGAGGGATGAGGTGTGGCAGGTAGAGGTGAGTACGGTGGTGGGCGCGGTGACTTGTTTTAATGAGTTGATTCGAGAGATGGAGAGGATCACAGGTATGCCAAACATTGGTTTTAAATCTTGGAGTGGTCATTGACTGATGCTGTACTGCTGGAAACCTAGGGAAAAAGTACAAGGTCGTGTATCAAGACATCCCCCTCCTGGAGAGGAGGATCGCCGAGGAGACCACCCAGATGGGGAGGTTTTATTGGGAGTACCGTCTGTGTCTGGCGCGGGGCAAGGGCAATGTACAGCCGACGTTGAACAAGCTGACAGACCTGAAGTTGACGGGTGTCAGCGAGTTTCTGGAAACGTGGTGGGGAAAGTAGGATGGTGAGTAGGAAAAAAGGACGAAAGACTATGCTGTAGGATGTTTTCTGCCTGTGGGAGGGCGGGAAAACATCTTGATGTTTACTTCTGATTTTTTATCATGGTTATAGTCGATTCTGTACTAGGTAGACTCAGATGCTATACTCTTGTTGTTCTAGTTTATCCGGATCCAGCGAGTTCGTCTATCCAGGACTAAAGGTTTCCGAGCTAGTGAAACGATTTCCCCAGCAGGCTTACCCCGTGGACTGTATTTTTCTATAATAAATTGGATTTACCTACAAAGTGACGTGACCCAAGATGAGAGGACATTGTACTCAGAGAGCCGCCAATAATATACTGTACTAAATATTGAAATGTGAAGCGACAACATATGTTACGGTCACTAGAGACGAGGGAGGAAGTATTCCAAAGTCAGCTAAAAACCGTACTCTTTCGTTACGACAACATGCCATTGCCGGTCATAGCCAATGAGAGTATTTAATTATCACACTGTATAAGCTTACCACAATGATTGTTTTGGGTATTGAATGGGGATGAAGTAGGGGTATACTCTCAGCATCGGCGGATTGTTTTTGCCCTCTACATCCTGAGACAATAGGAGGGTCTCAAGTCTAGTTCACTTAGTTAGAACGCGGTCCACTCTGGCCCGGGAACCTCCGGTGGAACCAAGTGCACTGGGGAAACGTTCCGCATAGGCGGGCTTCGTGAGTGAGTGATAATTGTGGACTACCTGTAGTCCGGGTATATATAGAGTTCCGTTATACATGTATTCTTGGGGAGTCTGCATGCAGATTTGCTATATATGGCGACAGTTCAAGTACAGACTTCATACGCACATGACGAAGTAGTACCGGTTATCAATCTGTATATTGTGTTCGCATTAGGAGGATATCTCGAGAGTTACACTGTGGGATAAAAGTAAAGGTACATGAATAAAACGCTAGCCAACACAAGAGCAGATATCGACAGACAATATATCCGCAAATCTGAAGCGGCATATCGTACTGATTTCTGGATCAACTCTTGGCCGGATATCGTGTCATCTTTGTGGCGGACCTCCTTGGGATTGGGGTGGATTCATCAGCGTTGGGTCCAGCAACGTGCTTTGAGTGGCCTCTTTTGTGCTTACCTTCTCGACGGAAGATATCTGCGCACCTTGCCTCTTTATCTCTGCACAAGACCTCCTTGACTCATCCATTGACCGCCTAACGGGGGGGTCGATATTATCCTAGAGCATGGGTTTCAGCCTTGACGCCTAACAAAATGAGACCAGTCTACTCACTTCTATCTTGGGGGGAACCGCCGAAAGTGCTTGAACCGCCGTGGCTTGTACTGCGGCATTGCTATCAATACAATATACATGACTACTCGATGAGGGTTCAGGGTTCATCGTTTTCTTCTCAGGCTCGATAGCACGCCTCGCACCCCGACTACGCAAAAGATCCCTCAATTGCATCTGCTTTGAACCTTGATAAACAGAGCTTCGGATACGGTAGACATAATCGAGTGGTGTTCGCCCATTGCTATCCTTGGAGTTGACATCAAGACTAGGTGCTGCGGCCAGTAGTAAGGCAGTCATCTTCGTACTACCTCTATTCATCTCATCAATCACGACCGCTAGATGTAATGGTCTTAGGTCCTCGATAACATATTTGCCAGTACATCCCCATCCACCTAGTGATTCGCCTGCGCGCATATTAAGATGGGGTAGCGGGAACGACATTCTTACGCGGGCACCAAGGTCTGCACCCTTCTCAAGTAGAAGTTTAACAACATTATGTTCTTCATTTAAGATTGAAAGGCTCAGTGCTGTCATGCCCCCCACATCCATGACCGGGTGCCCTCTTGACGTATAACCAAAGCCATATCGATCAGATTGACAGACGAACCGGAACCGCGCGGGCGATATTGCCTGCCTATTAACATCGACATCAGGGAGCCCAAGCAGGTACCGAACGCATCGAAGATTACCCAGACCGGATGCCACCATCAACGGAGTCAAACCGTACGGTGTGATGATGTCTGGACTAACGTCTTTCCATGTTTCCATAACCAGCTTCAGAAGTCCAAGTGATCCGTATCCACGCAGAGACGAGGCAAAGTGAAGCGCATTGGGTGGCATCTCGGGGCAGGTCGTCAGCAGCTCTCTGCAAATAGCATATTGGCGGAAGTAGACGGCAGCTTCGAACGGCGTGAAGTTCTTGCTCGAGGAATATTGTAAAGCTATGTTTTCAACTCTGAGTGGATTTAATGTTCTCATCGCCCACGTGTCGAATATAGGACCGGGTACAAAGAGGTTTCTCTGAGCGCTCAGAAGGACGTGGCTCCCGCCCCTTCTGGAATTGAAGGAGTGTGTTAACCACGGGCCAGGCGTCTCATATTTGTCAATAAATGGAGAGGCATAGTGTCTGTCCTTCTTGGCTCCATCCCACAAATGGAATTGGTACAATAAGCATTGTTTGGCTAGAATCCCGTGCTGCAAACGAACATCTGGAAAGAGGAAATATTGGACTATGTCGTCTTCAACCGCGAAGTGCTCGCCCGATCCAAGCAGGAATTCTTTCACGCTGAAATGTATGAATTGGACAATCTTGCAACGGTAATCATCGACTCTTATCTCGACAAGTCCACCGCAAGGTCGGAGAATGTTGGTTTCTATAAAGGGGTCGGTCAAAGTGGAAGGCATAGTGCAAGGCTGTATCTCATCCGTTTCGGTAATTTGACAAAGGTCAAGTAGTTCCTCCACCCCCAAAGGACGAAATGCAAAGAGTATGCATCGCAACAAGGCTTTGCCCCGTGCGCGCTCAGACCTTGGTATCCCCTTCAAGTTCCTTGAATAGGCTTCATCGACTCCGGAGGGCATTGGATTAAGGCTCACAGTCTTTTCCAGATGCTCACGTATCATGCCCGGTCGCAGAGCATCCCGCTGAAGCCGAAGCAGGAGGAACATTCCTTGACATCCGGATGATAACTGACGACTCACTCGATCCGTTTCATCACTATCCTCAAGCTGGAGGTCATCTGCAATAGTCCTGGAGAGCAGCTGGATATCACTCTCGGTATCACTCGAGACTATATGGTATTTGGAAACGTCATATGGAGGCGACCAACCGCATGCCTTGTTAATTGCCTTCTCGACCTCTTTAATCTTTCGGCTGACGATTAGTATTTTTGCTCCCGTGAGATATGTATGATGCAAAAGCTTATTCATAAACTCTTGCCTCACTCCTTGAACTTGACGGGTTTGAGATGTGGGATCGCCGTCGACACACTCGTCGAACCCGTCAACAATGAGGTGGCAGATGTCCACCCTACCCAGAATCGCGCGAAGCATGCTCCACAGTAGTGTAAGCACCGGATCACCGACGGAGGGCTTGAGTTCCTTGGCCGCATCTAGGGCCTGTTCGCTTTATGCACAGAGCTGAGATATCCAAGAGCGAAGAATAGAAATGGTCTGATCCTTTTCACCGCCACGATGCGTACAAAGGAAGAAGGCAGTAGGGCGTGAGGATCGCTGTTTGACATGCTCGATTATGCTTGCCGACAGGAATGTTTTTCCAATTCCGGGACCGCCGTACAGCCATAGCAGGCGAGAGGTGCCCATTCCATACGGTGGCCCGAACCAGTCGAGGAATTGTGAGTAGGTGAGAATCCATTTGCAGGTCCCGTTCTGCCTCTCCCGAACCGCTTCATCATATTCACTATCTGTCGACACGGCGCGAATCCAGGACGAAAATTTCTTTATTTTTCTTTCTTGATCTTGGGGATGTCAGAGAAGGTGCTCTAAATATTATTCAGAATAGATATGTGGAATACGTACCCACTACTTCTGCTCGTATAGCTTTTAATAGGTCATGGTAGCTCTTACGGTCCCCTTCTACTTTTCTTGCCTCGTCTGTAAACCTTTAGCCTTTACTCACTCTTCAGTTTGCGGTTGCATGACGCATATAGTAAGCTGCCATAGGTGGAGGAAGCGGAAATGCGGGCTGCAAGATATATGTATGTGTACCTTCCAAGAACGCTCTCAGTTCTTTAAGCTTTTCGTCCGAATCGCGCTTCCAGCAGTCATCGCTGTCCTCAGACGACGTAATGTTTTCTAACTTGTCAACCAATCCACCAAGATCTCCGAGAAACCTCTCAGATATTCGCCTGTCTTTCACTGCCCAACCAAATTTGCGTTTAAGTGATGTTTTCTGTTGACTGTTTGCTGCAGTATTTGTGACGTTTGCATCAGTTGCATCACTCGCGATCTCGAGGCCGTATTTTTTCAAGAGGATGTCCGTATCGATCCATAGGGTATGGATATTTTGTAGAATATTCCTTACCAAACGGCCTTGCTCCGAAGCTTCGTCAAGGCCCCCACCGGCAATATTCAGCCGCCTACCACATCTCTCAAAAATGAACCTCTCGGCTTGAAATAATGAAAGAAGCCTCTGCGAGTCTTTGCCAAACGTTTTCGCTGAACCGACTTGATCCATTATTTCCAGGCAAGCTGTGTATAGCCCCGCAAGTCCGATACTCGTCCCAAATGCCATCGAAATTGGTTCCACCATTTCGAAACGGGTGCGGGGGCTGCGCCGCGGGAAAAACAGGTAACTGGGTTCGGTGTCAGCGACAATATCCGGGTTGTATTAATGCTTCAACACGAGAATAATATTTGTTGGGTAGATCATGTGTAGTCGGTTCGTTGCCGAAGAAAAACCCACTGTAAGTTATGATCTTAATCAACCTGCCAAGTGACTCAATGCCTTCTCCTTTTGGGTGTTAAAGGGATAGCGTAGGCAGCTATAAGGTTTCTCAATATTCGAGTTTCGGTATTTGCGTTGTCCCCGGGAGTGCGTTAGTTGATATCTGGTGGGGATAGTTGGAGTATAAATTTCCTTCATTCTCCCTCTACCAGGAGCTGGCTAGGCCATGAGTCTTTCACCTTCCCCACATATCGTGTCTCTCCACCATTGGTGAGCTTGGGGATGAGCCCCAGGTTAATATTACCCGAGGGGTTATTCTGATCTTTCCCTGTATCCGCCCTGTATATCGCACTTTAACGTCGGGGGCGATTATCTGGTGGAGAGCAATCTGCTGGCAAAGCTGTCTATCGTATTTCACGGACCACCCTATAATAGAGGAACGAAATTTCTAGGGAAGATCTATTATTTGATAAGAGAGATAAGAGGATCTGTTAGTAAAGCCACACAAAAACTTGCTTTTTTTTGGGTGGTCAGCATTTGTTGCCAGACGGAGGGATAGTCCATAGCTTAGGCGATCGCGACTCCATCAAGATCGGCGAAGATTATCTTGCATGAGAGAATCTCCAATCGGAATACTCGCATGATGCCATATCAAGCTACTTGCGTGGCGCACAAAGTAAATACTTCTCAAGGACTGCTCAACTAAGAGAACAAAGAAGAACCTTTAAAAATTATTCTGCGCATATCGAGAGAATTCCTTGGAATGTTGGGGGCGGTAGAAGAGAGGAACGTTCATTAGAAGAAGAGGAATGGAGGAGGTGATATTAGTGTGCGTGTGGGACTAGTAGGGATTGCATGCGATTTGGTAAGTACACACTAGCCCTAACCCTAGTACTAATTGTGCTGCGCATTGTGACAAGTGATTGTGCTGTAGACAAGATAGGCCCTAATCGATAGCAAAGAATAAGCCAAAAGGTCTTCCAGCAGCTTCCAGAGCTTGATGTCACTAAAGCTCTAAATAGACCATAAAATGGAGGTATGGCAGAGCGAAAATCAAGAATGTATTCACAGTAGGTCATGCTCGCGCTCGGCTCATTTTGACCCTGACGCGTCACAGTAGACCCAGAGCTTCAAAGTAGTTTTTAAGAATAACTATAGTAGCATCCGCGTGTGGTAACACACTATATTCGATCTTTCCTTTACAGCTTACTACCACAATGAAGTAAAGATATATTTATTTCGTAAGCAGATGTAAGAATACACTAAGAATATTTGAGAACAAAATCCCCGAGGAGCAGGTTTCTATTCCTCGTTGGTCTCTATACGCTTCCATTGTCCGGGTCCTGTTAGAACCAGAGTTCCAGAGATCCTCGAGGATCGGGCTGCTTCAACCGCATCACCTATGTAGGGGAGGCCTGACTCCGTTCACCGAAACCCCGGGTTTCGATCTGAATGGCGTCGAACAAGTCCACTCTGGGTAGTTCTATAGCTAATGAGTATAATAATATGCTCATGACAAGGAGTGTAATCGGTAATGAGATCACTAGCACCGTTTTTTCGGCGTATATATATTTTGAGGAGAGATTCGGTGTCTTTCAACACAAGCAAATTATCAAAGGTCCTATCTAAACGTTACGTACTAGCTACAATATACCCGAAAGGTGAGCTATCTCGAACGATGCCGGTGCTCGCACGCGTACGTTCAATTAGGCTGTCTTTTGGTCAACGGGCTAATAAAGAACGAGAGTCGACCGTCTTTTTTCGAGCCAGAAATCAGCTAGCGGTCATCTCAGTGAGGTGATGGCAGATATTGGTTATTCCTACCCTCCGTTTGGCATATGGAAGAACGACAATTACATATACATAACGGCAGTTATCAGCAGTTTTGAAAAGTTGAAGAAAGGTTCGTATATTAATTACTGGCCCCACAGTGCCCATTTATTGTTCTTCGCCTTGTTCGCGTTCGACCGCTCGCATCTGTCCAGTCCGAATCCTATTTGAGATCAGGTCAGCTGTAGTTGGCAGGTGGGTAGACTAGCTTCCGAGGACTGATCTCGATGGTAGAGGAGCACTTTATCATTAGGACCCTTCCCCGGAACACTTGACTGGTTGACAGATTCGAAACCAATTTGAGCTGGCTTCCGCATTGATTCTGAGGAAAGGCCGGTATTATAAGTGTTTACTTTCCCGGGGTTGATAGTTTATGTTCAATGAGCCACGTAATATTATTCTTCGAGAAGGCCACTTTGACTGCCTCTTTGGTCGAGCAGCTGTTCAATTTAATATGGCAACCGGAGGACCAGGCAAACCTTAGAGCTGGCGCTTCATTTCTGCTTAGTAGTTTATCGCTTTCATTCAGATTATGATGCATTTAACAACGCGTTGGAATAGCCAGGATATAGGCAAAGATGGATACAGCTATAAACTCCGCCATAGGAAGTTTCCACTAGATTAGAATAGTAGCTTTGACTGTGCACAGCCGTTTTGACATTTCTCAGCTTTTTCGTTGATGTCGCCGAGGTTTCTAAACATACATGTATTTTTACGCAATAGGGTTAATACGAACCTTTGAGATAGCAGGAGATGGAGCCTACCCCCGAACGCATAGCTCCGAGGAGGTGGGGGGGTGTTTAATCCTCAATTTATATGATTTTCTCGTGCTAACCAATTGGCACAATACTTGTCTAATATGTATTATCTTTACTCTCTGATGTACGCTCATTCAATCTAATTGGTCGAGAGAGACAGGGGCGGTTTAGTAAGAACGACACATTAAAATCCTGAGCGCTCACGATTGAATGGGGCCGAAGGACGCCCCATTGAAGGCCTTTCACCATTATTGAATACTTGATTGATACCCATAATCCAAAATACAACTCGCAGTCGCGAGGTGGTCCTGCTAGTATCTACGTACAAACGCACATGCGACCCTTTTCAACCTTGTATATGTCTAACTATCAAAAACTAGAAACACAATACAGATATAATTCCCTTCGAAAGAAAGCTGACATAAGAGATGAGAATATTGAACGGTCATTTTGAAGCATAAGTTTAAAGTGCCCATTACCATTGATGGCCATCGAGTACGCTACCATTCCAACTTTTCATTTCTTGTGCCACACCCCAGTCACTGCGTCCTTTTCCTTACTCCAATCATATATGCCCCCTCTTTTTGAAAAGTTCTCCTCATCCCACCTGATTGTCGACAAAGCCTCGGCCACTCCTACATCTAAGATAGAATCGCTCTGCAGGTTGACATTCTTATCCAAGAATCGCATGTACTCATCCAACAAGAGATAAAAGCTCATCATGACATCGTTCGGTTCAGGAATAAAGGATTTGTGATGCCTGTGTCATTGCAAAACTGCGTAAACTCCTCGTCAGTGACTACAAACCTCATTGCGTCACGGAGCGTGCTTTCCGAGTTGTTCTCGCCATCCACAACGAGCACCTGGAAACACTTCCACCGGAACGGAGCAATGGCCTCAATGTGCTCATTCATATCTTCATTAATGTTATACCGGTTGACCACCGTGTTCAGTTTGAACTTGATCCCGAATTCCCGGCAGAGACGTGAGACGTTCTGGAACTTGTCAATATGCCCACCCTGGGGGCGGCCAATCTTGATATTCGTTGCCTCAATGAAGGAGTCACACGATACACCCAGGATATCAATGTGTTTTCCATAGTCTCGAAGGTATCTCGCCGTAACTAGACTGCCATTTGTGATGATCGACACAGATTCGAGTTGGAACTCCTCCTCACAGAAGATGATGAGTGATGCAAGGTATTTCGGGTAGAGAAACGGTTCGCCACCAGCAAAGTTGATTTTGCGCATGCCAGCATCTTTGAGGAGCTTCAAACCGCGGAAGGAGTCCTCAAGAGGGAGTATATGAGAGGTTTTACCTGTATGGAAGCAGAAACCGCACTCGTAGTTGCATTTGCACATGAAATAGTAGTTTACAGAGATGGGTATAGGGGTATTCTTTCGGAGACGGATTGTTATCGGAATCACGGAATGATGTGCAAAGATGAAGTACATTGAGGAAAACGAGTGATGGGTTGTGATGTGAGTATGGTCAGGTAACGAAGGGACAAGCATAGAAAGTTATCGGGTAGTGAGAAAGCAAGTGGTGCGGCAATACTATTATTATGTTATTGTGACGGCATGCTTACTATTAGGGTGCTAACCGGGAACAAAATGGAAGAGGAGTTTATAGCTGGGGGCTGTTCTACTTCGGGAAGTAGGTCTAGGGCAATAGTATGATATACCTCAATTACTGGCATTTGCAAGATTCAGGATTACGTATCGAAATTAGAATGGAGAACAGGACTATGCGGGGTTGTTTTTCTATTGGGGTTATCTTCGGGTTGATAATGATATTCTATTATGATAGTTATCTCATTAGTATTAGAAAGCGGGTCTTGACGTAGATTCCAATATATATAAATTGTAACGGGAGTCCTTTCTAAGAGAAATAGAATCGGATAGAATAGAGACGTCCATGCAAGATAGACAATCAGGTTGCAGATTATTCAAAGATACTATCGCTAGATCTCAATAATCTTTAAGGACTCTGCTACCGATAAGAACTTGGTTTTCTTTCTGATGAAGACTAGAGAGAACAGCACTGTGGAGCGAAAATGAGCTTGAGTACTTATACTCCGAAGGCCTCTATTCTCTGCTCCTAACTCCTTACTACATTCCAGTGGAACCTTTCCTCGGTCCGGGAAACAATACCACTGCTACCCCGCTTTTCTCTAAGCGTCAGCAGGTGTTTCCGATACCCAAGGCAACCACCCTTAGTCAAAGCCTTTGTAACACCTGCAGCCTTGATTGACACACAACTGGGGCCTGTATGAATGAGCTGCCGCTCAGGTGTAAGATTAATCATTGCTGTAGAGCTTTCGCTTATTGTAGACTTCCCTAGCATAGTCTCAAGGGGGCGAGTAGCGATTGTTCCGCAGGGTACGAAGAGTGTAGCAGGGGACGTTATGGGAACTCGCAATAGGGATCCTAAGGGACTCTAGCATTGGTAATGGTCGACGGGACAAGAGGAAGCGAGGCGGTGGTCTTCTTGAATAAAGAAGAGGACGATAATATTGTATAGCAAAAGACAGCGTAGATACAGAAGACGTTGCGTAGTAAAAGAAAGAGAAGGAAATGAACAAGAAACGAAAGCGGAAACCCCTTAATATACCCAAGGAAATCCTAGCGATGACAAATCCAAAGTGACTCACACGCTTACGACCCACAGAACCCAATAGAACCAGATGGAACCTTTCTGACTAATCCAACTCCTCGTAACCCAATGTATTCACTAATCGATCCATGAAACATAGTCCCTGCCCTTCGGTGGACTTACAATGCTTTAGAGGATACAGAGGATCACCGGGCAATCAGAGCTTCACTCTGGCCGGCCTTCTACTCACTGGCGTGGGATAGACTTGTCAGTCATTGCTCCCATAAATAGATCCCCTACCTAGAGCTTGGAATGTAGGTACTCTAACAGCTGGTAGCTAACCACACTGCCGGCACTTGCATATCACCGTACAACTGGCTTCTAACAATAACTCTCAGCATGGAACCGGGCCCTGTATGTACTCATACACCAGATAGTTGAAATGGCTCTGTTACACTACTCCCCTCTTCCTGAATCTTGGTCTTCAAAATCTATAACCATTCTATTACCATCCATTCTATTTGACAAGAAATTCCGTGAAGTGGAAGGAATGGAAAATCTAAAGGAAAAACTACACCCCAACAATCTGCTTGTCCTTGAGTTTCTTAGGATACCTCATGTTGAAATCCTGAATGGCATCTTCAGCACTCTGCTTGAGATGCTCCCAAAGTTCCCATATAGCATCCTGGTTCTCATAATCTTCCCAGAGTACTAGCTTTTCCACTCGTCTCTTTTTCTTATTGACCTGGCTATCAGCTACTTCTCGGACAACCCAGTTCTGTTCTCCTTCAATCTCTTCAGGTTCCAGAGGTAGAACTCTTCTCTCAGGATATAGCGGTGCTCTGTAGAGCTCTAAGAGAGAGACATGAAAGACCTGGTGGATTTCCATTTGAGGGGGAAGAGAGAGCTTGTAGGCATGGGTACCAATAGCTTCTAAGACCTTGAAGGGTCACATCTTTTTCTGATCCATTTCCCCCCAAGGCCACTTTGTTTGCAAATTGGGCCGGTCAAACATTACTTCATCTTTGGGCTTGATTTCAGGTGGTGCCTGGGCATGAGCATCATACCACTGGGCCATCCTTAATTTAGCTTTACCCAAGGTGGCGTTCATAGCCTGCCAGATAGATTCCCATTGAGATATCATGACCTCACTCGCTGGATTGTTCCATTCTACTCCTTCCTTTGGGGCTGGCCAGTTGTTTCTGGGTTCATAACCATAGTTGGCATAAGGAGCCGATACTTTGGTAGACTCAGAGACCGCCGAGTTATATGCATACTCTGCCAAAGGCAAGAGTTCTGCCTAGTCATCCTGTTGATATTAACAATAACTTCGCAAGTAATGTTCCAGGCTCTGATTAACTCTTTTTTTTGACCGTCCATTTGAGGGTGGAAAGATTTGGACATCTTCAGCTTCACATTGAGGAGGCCCATGAGAGACTGCTACAAGTGAGAGATGAACCTGCTATCTCTGTCCGAGACTACATCATCAGGTCAACCATGAAGTCTCCAAACTTCTTTCAAGAATAACTTAACCAAATCTTCCGTTTTATTGAGTTTAGGAAAAGAGATGTAGTGTGCCATCTTCGAAAAGCGGTCCACTATTACCCAGATCTTTGTAAATGCACTAGATCCCGGTAATCTCACAATGAAGTCCATAGAGATGGAAGTCTATGGCCGATAGAGTATCTCCAACAGTTGGAGCATACCAAACTCATTGTGTCTTGAGGTCTTATTCCTCTGGCAGCTGTAACAGCTCTGGACATATTCCTCAATATCCTTATCCATGTTGGGCCAAAAGAAGTTGTTTTTCACCCGCTCTAGTGTTCTAAATTGGCCAAAATGACCAGCCACCTTAGAGTCATGTGTATCGGACAATATTTCCATCTAAAGCTTCTTGTCTTTGGGTATATACCATCTATTCTTGTAGAAGATGAGACCGTTCTTGACCGACAAGTTCTGGTCCAAATTTGATTTCCTTTCAATCAGGGAGCGGTGTAGTTCCTGCCAGAAACTATCCTCTTTAACAGCCGCATATAGGCACTCTAAAAATGTATTCTGCAATTGATTCACCCTGACAACCACTAGCTTTGCAGGATCCAAAACCAATTGACCTGGCCTAAAAAAGATCTGTGGCTCCGGCTGCAGAGTTTTACCTCCCTCTCCAAGGCGGTGATCTCAGCGCCTAGATAGCATATTAGTCTTGCCATTCTTTTCTCCCGGTCTGTAGACAACTTCAAAATTGTAGCCTGCGAGATCCTCAGACCATTTAGCTTACCGCCTAGTAAGAACCTTGGTAGAATTAAAGTACTCCAAGTTCTTGTGGTGTGTAAAAACCGTGATCTCCTGCTCGCGAGATTTGAACATGTGTTTCCATTCCCAGAAAGAGGCTACAATAGCTCCCATTTCCTTATGATGAATATCATAGTTGATCTCAGCAGGGGAGAACTTCTCAGAGTAGAAAGCCACCGGGTGTAGCTTTCCATCATCCCTATACTAAGAGAGCACTGCCCCCTTGACGAAATCACTGGCATCTGTTTCGACCACCGTTCTCCTACTAGGGTCAAAATGAAGAAGGATTGGAGTGCTTGTGAACAGCCTGTTGAGTTCTTCAAAGGCTTGCTCATGTGCTGCCGTCCAATACCATTTCTTGTCTTTCTGCAAGAGATCAGTTAATAGTTTGCAAACCTTGCTAAAGCCGTCAATGAAGCGGCGATAGAAGTTTACAAATCCGAGGAATGCCTGTACTGCCTTGACATTCTCAGGTATCGGCCATTCCTTATCTGCCTCCAACTTGTCTTCTAACATAGATATTCCTTCTAGTAGTGGAATGTTAGACAGGATTTTGAGGTTGCCCGGGAACCGTCGCCACACAATTCCGGCTCCGTGACTATGGGTCGAACAGGACGACCCGTGTCCATTCCCATCATCAAGTATGCGCATACAGGGGGTCGTGGTCGTGATTGCGGGGGCGGAGGTGGTGGTTGGGGGCTGTTGAGTAGGGTAACTCACTGTGAGTCTTGGCGACCCATCCTGGTTCACTCCCGGCACCGCCACTCACCGGGCGGGTACGACGATCGATGACTGGATGGCACCGAATGCACCGTCTCGAGCCGACGATCATTACGGCGCATGAAATTCAATGATGCCGCGTTTCCCCATCTTTTGCTTCGATGGAATACATAAATTTCGGATTCCGAACTGCGGGTTACCGCATCGGGCGAATCCCACTATTTGTCTCCGCTGCGTCTTCTTACGCTAACTCAGATTCTGCACTCCAGGTCACCACTTTACTAAGTTTGAATGCTCATAACCCTAACTACCCACATCCAGGTTCTTTCATGGATGGATTAGTGGATTTACGCGGTTACGAGGAGTCAGATTAGTCAGAAAGGTTCTATTGGATTCTACCGGGATCTGTTGATCATTAATGTATGAGTCATGTTGGATTTGTCATCGCTGGGATTTTCTTGAGTATATTAAGGGGGGTTTGTTTGTATTTCTCGTTCTTTTTCTTCTTCTTTCTTTATGCAACGTCTTCTGTATCTACGCTGTCTATTGCTATATTATCGTCCTCTTCTTTATTCAAGAAGACCACCGCCTCGGTTTCCCTTACCCCGTTGACCATCACCAACGTTAGAGCCCCTTAGGACCCCTATTGTGAGTTCCCATAACCGTCCCCTATTACACCCTTCGTACCTTGCGGAATACTCGCCACTCGCCCCCTTGAGAAGTTCCAACCACCACGAAATACACATTGATGTATTTCATTTTTACCGAAGATTGTATTTTGTACACGTAACCAAACCAACTTTCAACGCTCGTAACTCTAACTACCCACATCCAGGTTTCAACCACCACTAAATACACATTGATCGGTTACATTTTGACCAAAAATTGAATTTTGTACCAATAGAATAACAACGACCTGAAGAAAAAAAAATAGAAAAGTGTCACTTCAGTATTCTGTCCTACATTCTAATTCCGATACGTAACCATGAAAGTTGCAATTACCAGTCTTCGGCCTGTATCCTATTATTGTTCTAGACACTACTGAGCAATATTGAATCGCTGGATAGATATGCATGTCTATTAGGACAGTATGTAAAGCAAACACTAATGGTGAAATTGGTTACTACTGTTTGTGATAGCTTGAGAGGTATAAATATCAATCGAAACAGAAAGTGCATCAGAGTTTGCAATTGAGATTTGTTGGTATGGTTTGCTATGATTCGATTTGTATGCACACTTGTTGTGACAGAATGTAAATCAGGAATAGTAAATGAGATTTGGGAGGATTTTTGGCAATCGCTTGATAGGTATGCATACAAATCGGAATGGCAAGTAAAGTGTATACCGATAAGAAAATCTTTCTGTATGATGGTTCAATACTAAATAGGAGTCGATACCTGTCAGAAAAATATTCGAATCAGTAATTAGCAGTGAAATTGGTTGATATCATTAATAATTGGTTCATATTTATACGTTCTTATCAGAACAGCAAATTTAACAGTTGTTGACAAACAAAACCTTTTGTATTATTTACAATCCTTTGATGGGTATGTATCAGGACAGCGAGTGTATCAGAAATTCAAATTCTCATTTGTTACAATCGTTCATGAAGGTTTGAAAGCTATGAATATTTATTGGCACAGTAAAATACTGGAATTGATACTCAATGTATTTGATGGCTTGATTGGTATACCATGTTCTGGATCAATATTGAATGGATTGAATACTGCATTACGGTTTGCAAAATATCATCTCAAAACACTATGTTGTGGCTTCCCAATCTATTCTGAAATATATACAATCTATGATCATATTCTGAACTTGAGAGTGAACAATATTCAGCACTTGTCTCTAAAACTCATTGTTTTAAATGATAACAGTCTTCATAACGTGTATCCTCATATTTTGTATTTTTGTAAACGGGTAGGAATTTGACGATGTCCGCAAGATAACATCTGTTCCACCTTACCTCCCTATTAACAGTATGCGCCCGAATTCCCCCAAGCCTTTAGAATTAGGATTATGAAGGCTTTTGATTGAGAATGTCATATTTGAGCTGACTGGCGGTCAGTATAGCCCTCAATGGCTTGAGCGTTCTCAGTGTAACCCAATTCAGATCCTAAAACCTTGTCCGATTTCATGGATCGATTGAATAATATAGTAGGTTACAAAGGGTCGAACTGATCAGAAAAATTCTATGGATTTCTAGAAGATTCCGTCAATTTTAAGGGTATGAGTCAAGTTGGATTTGTGATTGCTAAGTTTTTTTTATTTATATTGAGGGGCTTTGCCCTAGATTCTATTCTATTTCCCTCTCTTTTCTTCTCTTTCTTTTGGTACGCAAAGGCTTAGGTAATCTACGCTGGCTATTGCTATTCAAGTACTATTTTCTCTTCCTTTCTAAGGATGCCATCACATGTCTCCGACCTTCCCACCGCTAGTCCTAAACTACTGTAAGTTTCTCCATCCCCTCTCGCTGATTAACCTACCAGCCCCTGTGACCATCTCCCGTACCCTGCGGAATACTCGCTACTCAACTCCCTAGGATTACGTTGAGTCGTAATCTGCACCATACGCCATGTCCACCCCCAACCGACCTACATGGATCTCATCTAACAAACTCGAGTAGTTTAACCATCAGTACGAATAGAATACTGCTGCCCTCTTTGACCACCTCGCTACTATGTTTTAAAGCATCCGACACAAGAGGGATAGTGCTTGTAAACTGTTCTCCGCCGCCCACAAAACCATTGACTACCTGGAAGCGCAAGTAATACAGGTCAACCTTGACCTCAATGTTGACCACATCGCCCCTGCCCCCAATATTCCAGTCCCCATTTTCGCTGCTAATGCACCAACCATTGTCTCCACCATTGGGTCTGAAACGTTCCCCGAAAAGTTCGAAGGCATCTGGACCAAAATCCCCGGATTCGTTACCCAACTCTGAATGAAGCTCAAAGTCAACCATAATTGGTTCCGCAATGGGACAGCAAAGGTTATCCATGCAGTCAGCTGTTTGGAGGGAAGAGCCCTTGATCAGGTCATACAACTTGTTAATGCCAATCCTGCTGACTTCTTGTCCTCCGTGACCTTCTTCTTCGCCCACATGGAATGCTCATTTAGAGACCTAAACACCCGAGATACTAAACACCGCAACTCATCTCCCTGAGGTAAGGCAAAGGAGACTTTGCCACCTACTACTCGCAGTTCATCAGAAACTTATCCCACTTGCATTACAACAAAGGAGTCAAGATTGACGAATTACCAGAAAGATTGTCGGACAATTTAAGAGACGTCATGACATATCGAACGGACAGACCCAATATGGTGGAAGCATATGCGACCATGTCAGTGACGATCGACATCCACATATAACTGACGTGCTATCATGAGGCACAAACGTAACTTCCTTTCGAATGGTGTAAATAAAGAGAGCGAGTTTTGATGATACTCGTTCAGAAAGAAGAAAATGGCAGTTTGTATGTTTGAACGTTCCCAAGTCTAGAAAATTATAACTTTAATGGGTCTCCCCTCTATTAAAGATCCATTGATGATGAGAGGCCAACCTAAGGCAACAGTGAGTGCCTTATAGGAATACAGCGGGTTTGCTCAAGTTCTTTTTCCGACTGACAATCTGCCCGTTGATAGTCGGGGGTACAGCAACTATTTTTTCTCAGGGGAGAGGAGAGTAACTACGACACCTTGAATGAATTTCTATCCGAGTCAAATCATGCAATTTGCCGAAATCTGTAGTTGGAATCTCAAGAACTATTGGAAACATCCGACCAGATAATAATTGTTTATTCTAACTTTATTAGAACCAATTTGGGTGTTTGTAAACCGAAGTTTTGCTTTAGTAGCTTGAGTCGCACTCCCACTCCCCAAAGATGCTCCGGAGCAAAACAGGAGCATTCCGACAGTTTGACACTCCGGAGGTTAGTGTTGGGGATTAAAACGTGTTTTTGGAATTAGATTTTCCATTAGCTCCGGGACACCGCCATAATCATTTCTGTCGTGCTAAAGCATGGTCTTTGAGTATCGGTTGGTGATATATGAAACCTGAAAGATTCGACTGACTAGGTATGGAACTGCCGTCCGGGGTTCCCTGTTCTATCAGCCATCTTTGTTCTTCTGTTCCAGGCTTGCCCAGCCCCCTATTGTTGACTTGTAAGACTTCTTACTCATTGAGATCACTGTCCTCTATACCACTAAAGGTAGGAGCCTAACTGCCCTTGTCTTCACGCGTCGATGAAGAACAAGCTGCTGTTACTTTGGGTCGGTGGTTAACTGATGGAATAGGTTCTTTTGTAACAGCCTGATAGTGGCCTTGTTACATTACTCCCCTCTATTGTAGAGTTGTTTTGAGTCCACTGTAGTGTTACTGGAACATTAGTATTTGGCATAGAAGAAAAACTTTAGCCCTATTGGCGGTTACGTACAAACTACATCTCTGTTTCTATCTCCATCAGAGAAAGAAAACTCTAACATGAAATGCCTTTTAAAAACAAAGAAAATGACATATTCTCCACTCTTGTCGTAGAACCTTCCGTTCCACTAGTGGAGATTTCGATGTTAGCAAGAATCTCTCTTTTTCCCTTGTCTTTTTTACGCGGATTTCCTCACGCTTCGGTTTCCTATCGTTTCTTCCATTGTTTTCAGGGAAAAATGGTATCCGAACTCTGTCAGACCGATGAAAAACCTGGTACAGGAGAGTTGGTTTTTGTTCCCGGATTTCTTCTGGGATACAGAGCTACTTACACCGTGTTTTGAGGATCCCTAAAGTTTCACCGTATTTTCCGATGTTTTTGCGGGTATTTTTGCTGAAATTCTTTCAGGGCCTCATCGGCTCTTCCTTGCAGAATTTCATATCGTTCCCAGGAGTCTTCCGAACGATACCCCTCCCAAACAATGCGATACTCTACAAACGTTTTCTAATGCCCAACGTGTTGCCATCGGCTATTAGCTATTTCTTGGAGAGCGTAACTGTATTCTCCTTCGACCTCATCTGGAGTAGGAGGGACTTCAGTGCGTTGAGGGTATCTTAGTCCCCGATAGGACTCCAGCAGAAATATTTGGAAGTCATCATGAATGTTCCATTGAGAGGGAAGCTTCAGCCTATATAACGCAACAACAAGTTTCTCATCAACCTCAAAGAGACATAGTTTCTTGTAGTCAAGCTTGCTTGAGGGTCGATTGGCAACCATATTGCGTCGGTCCATCATCACCTTATCCCCATCTTCAGGTTCTGGAGGTTTCATATGCTTCTGGTCATACCATTTCTTCTGCCGGGCCTGTGCCTTAAAAATATCAGTCCTCATAGTTTTCCAAAGAGCTTTCCACTTGAACTTTAGTACGGCGCTGGAAACATTGGCATTGTCCAGCTTCCTTCTGCGCGAATGCCAATTGGAATCAGGCTCGAACCCATAGTTCGCGTAGAACTGAGATACTTTAGTGGACTCTTGGGTTGCCGTTTTGTAGGCGTACTGTGCAAGCGGCAGTAACCCTGCCCAATCGTCCTACTGGTAGGACCAAAAGTTTCTGAAATATTGCTCTAGCGTTTGATTGGCCCTCTCAGTTCACCTGTCAGCTTCAGGATGTTATGCCGTAGGCAGACAAAGGTTGACTCCGAGAAGCTTGATCAATGAATGCCAGAACTTGCTTTCGAATCTGAAGTCCCGTTCAGAAATGATTACTTCGGATAGTACATGTGGTCGCCATATTTCTTGAAGGAATATGTGCGAAAGTTCCTTGATTGTTGCCTCGGTCTTGAGCGGTATGAAGTAGGTGATTTTTGTAAAGCGTTCAATAATAAACGCGATACGGGTATAGGCTTCAGATTCTGGCAAACTAATGAAAAAGTTCATAGAAATGGAGCTGCAAGGAATATTGGGGACCTCTAAATGTGGTAGCATCCTGTACTTTTCATGACTGGAGCTTTTATTGCTTTGACATGTATCGCAACTCCATACGTATTCTCCCATATCATTGTCCATCTTTGGACAAAAGAACAGTGCCCGAAGATGCTCTGCAGTTTTGAATTGACCCAAGTGGCTTGTGGGCTTCGAATCATGTAGGGCGCTCATGATTTTTGGTTTGAGCTCTCGGTGATTTGGTTTCATGGATCGACCAGTGGAGGTACGGGGTTATGAAGAGTCGGATTAGTCAGAAAGGTTCTATTGGGTTCTACCGGGTTCTGTTGATCGTTGATGTATGAGTCATGTTGGATTTGTCATCGCTGGGGTTTCCTTGAGTATATTAAGGGGGGCGTTTGTTTGTATTTTGTGTTCTTCTTCTTCTTTCTTTACGCAACGTCTTCTGTATCTACGCTGTCTATTGCTATATAATATTCTCGTTCTCTTCTTCCCTCAAGAAGACCACCGCCTCGCTTTGTTCTCGTCCCCCTTCAAACCTTACCGACGCTAGAGCCCCGTAGTACCCATATCGTGGAGCTCCCACACCGTCCCCTGCTACGCTCTTCGTGCCATGCGGAATACTCGCTACTCACTCCCTTGAGATTACGTTGCGTCGTCATCCGCACCGTACGATATGTCCACCCCCGACCCACCTGCATGGAATGCACCCAAAGATGTAGAGGAATTCAGGCAGATGTATGAGGCCGGCCCCGCTGAACTATTCGACAACATCGCCACCCTCGTCCAGCGTGTCCGCCTCCAAAGGGACACCCTTCATACACAACTCACCGCCGCCAACGAAACCATTGACAACCTCGAGGAGCAGATAAACCGGCTCAACCTCGACCTCAATGTCGCCCGCGCTGCTCCTGCCCCTACCGTCGCTGCCCCCGTTGCCCCCGCTCCTCTACCTGCTCCTGTCCCCGCCTTCAGGTCCGAAAAGTTTCCAGACCCTGAAAAATTCGATGGCACCCGTACCAAGCTCCCCGGATTCACTACCCAACTTCGAATGAAACTTGAAGTTAACCACGATCGGTTCCGGAACGAGGCAGCAAAGGTTATCTACGCCGTCAGCCGCTTGGAAGGAAGGGCCCTTGACCAAGTCGTCCCACTCGTTAACGCTAACCCTGCCGCCCCCTTCTCCTCTGTCACTGCCTTCGTCGCCCATTTGGAAGCCTCCTTTGGGGACCCAGACCCCCGGGGTACCGCCCGTCGCCAACTCGTTGCCCTGAAGCAAGGCAAAGGGGACTTCGCTACCTATTATTCGCAGTTCCTCCGCATCGTGGCATACCTGGACTATAACGAGGGAGCCAAGATCGATGCCCTGGCCGAAGGACTGTCAGAAGACCTGAAGGATGCTATGACATACCGGACAGACAGGCCTAACACCGTCGAAGCCTATGCCACCATGTTGATGACAATCGACAACCAGGTTCGGGGCCGCAAAGCTGAACAACGGGCCATTCGGAATACAATGGGACAATTCACCGCCCCCGCTGCTGCCGCACACCCATCTCATACCGCCGGAGGCCTCGCCCCAATGGACCTCTCCGCTCTCCAAAGCCGCCCCACTCAACGTCCTGCCATCGAACAACGATATACTTTTGTCAATGGACAACGCAAAACCTCCGCCGCTGAAAAACAATGGCGAAGGGACAACAATCTCTGTATGTACTGTGCCAACCCCGGTCATGTCTTTGCCAACTGCCCCTCTGCCAATCGCCCGCGCGGTAACCAACCGGTTATGAGAGGCGCCCTCCTCGCACCCAGCCATACGGCCGTCGACCCCGCTGCTCCACCGGTCGCTAGTCCCGCCTCCTCTGAGTCGGGTTTTCAGTAGTCCCGGGCTTGATCAATGGCCCCTGCCCGGGACCTTCCAATGTCTCTCCTTTGTCTGCGTTTTCTATCTCTGGCTTCTCGGTATCATCTGTGGAGGATAAATTGGATGGGGATCATTTTGTTGCTTCTTGTAAAATTATAAACAATAAAACATCCATTCAAACCTACGCACTGATCGATACCGGTTGCTCCGGATTCGCATTCATTGATGAAACATTTGCGCGCCATAACAACTTCCCGCTTCTCCCCCTTAAATCACCCCGCACTCTCGAAGTTATCGACGGTCGGCCCATATCTTCCGGACAAATTACCCATCTCTGCTATCTGCCGCTGACCATTGACTCCCACCATGAAACTACCCCTTTCTTCGTCACCAAACTTGGCTCGTATCCACTCGTCCTCGGAATCCCCTGGCTTCAATTGCACGATGCAACATTACGGTTTAAGGACAACAGCATACTGTTCGACTCCGAATACTGCAAACGCAAGTGCAACTCTTCCCCGATACCCGTTCCCATTAGAGGGGTTGCACCACCGCCCCGTTTTCACCTCGTCAGTTCAGCTGCTCTTTGTCGCTTTGCTCGAAGAGACAAACTCCAAATCTTTAGTACAACCATTGAAGAAATAGATCAAGCAACGGGCGTAGCCCCTAAGCAAGACTGGAGGAACCGGGTCCCAACCCGGTATAAGAGATTTCATAAAATGATGGACGAAGAATTCGCTAACGGGATGCCGCCTCGCCGCCCCTATGATCATAAGATACCGCTCAAGGAAGGGAAAGAGCCCCCTTTTGGGCCACTTTATGGTATGTCCCGCGAGGAACTCATCGTGCTGAAACAATACATACAGGACAACCTTCAAAAGGGGTTCATTCAGGCCAGCTCTTCGCCTGCCGGTGCCCCTGTACTATTTGTTAAAAAGGCCGATGGAACACTCCGCCTTTGTGTCGACTATCGTGGCCTCAACGAACTTACTGTCAAAAACCGCTACCCGCTACCACTCATCCGGGAAACTCTCGATCGCCTTTCCAAAGCCAAGTGGTACACCAAGCTTGATCTTCGCCAAGGGTACAATCAGATTCGAATGGCTGAGGGTGAGGAATGGAAAACAGCCTTCCGAACGCGTTACGGACATTTCGAATACACCGTAATGCCCTTCGGCCTTACCAATGCACCAGCCACCTTCCAACATTTTATTAATGATTGCGTCCGTGATTACCTTGACATGTTCTGTACAGCCTACCTTGACGATATCCTTATTTACAGCGACACCTTCGAGGAACATCAAGTACACGTCGAAAAAATACTGGAAGCCCTACAAAGAAATGGAATACTGCTGAAACCGGAGAAATGCGAATTTCACACACAAAGCACCACCTATCTCGGCCTGATTATCGAACCCAATGGTATTAAAATGGACCCAAGGAAAGTGGAGACGGTGAAGAATTGGACCGTCCCCAAAACAGTTAAGGATGTACAAGCATTCCTAGGTTTCGCTAACTTTTACCGCCGATTTATACGCGGATTCTCGGAATTGGCTTCTCCTCTTACCAGACTGACACGTAAGGATACATCATTTGGATGGACACGCGAAGCCCAAACCGCCTTCAATGCCCTGAAAGAAGCCTTTACCACGGCGCCCATTCTCGCTCATTTTGACCCGGAAAAGGAAATTACTGTGGAAACCGATGCATCTGACTATGTCTCCGCCGGTGTACTCTCCCAATACGATGACAATGGTATCCTCCGACCTGTTGCGTACTTCTCGAAAAAACACTCCCCCGCCGAATGCAACTACGAGATTTACGACAAGGAATTACTGGCAATCATTCGGTCTTTTGAAGAGTGGCGACCGGAACTTGAAGGGGCTGCACACCCAATCGCCGTCATATCCGATCATAAGAACCTCGAATACTTTATGAGTACTAAACAACTCAACCGGAGACAAGCACGGTGGGCAGAATACCTGTCACGATTTAATTTTGTTATCAAATACCGACCAGGGAAACAAGGAGGGAAACCGGACGCGTTGACAAGAAGATCAGGAGATCTCCCTGGAGAGGGGGATGAAAGACAATTGCATCAGAGTCAAGTTGTGTTGAAGAAGGAGAATCTTGATGCGAAGCTAAGTTTGTTGGCGGGTTCTTTCTCAAATGAGCCCGCTGAAAAGAACGCCTCACTGCAGGAATTATTTGATGAAGGATATAGCGCTGACCCGTTTCCCCAAAGAATACTGGATATGCGGAATAAAGGCGATCGACAATCAAGAGACATATCACTCGCCGAATGCACCGAGGTTGAAGGCCGATTGCTTTACCGAGGCAGCATATATGTCCCTGATTACGACCCCCTTAAGCTTCGAATCCTCCAACTTTACCATGACGCTGCCTCTGCTGGACACCCGGGACGTGAAAAAACATTCGAACTCGTCAGTCGGGACTACTACTGGCCCCTCATGCGAAATTACATTGCCCGCTACGTTCGGAACTGTCACACCTGTCAACGAAGTAAACCCAACACCCATGGAAAACTCGGCGTACTTCGACCTTTACCGATTCCCGAACAACCATGGCGGGAAGTATCGATGGACTTCGTTACGGGCCTACCGGAAAGTGAAGGGTACGATGCAATTATGGTAGTGGTTGACCGGCTAACAAAGATGCGACATCTCCTGCCCTGCAATACTACTGTCAACTCCGAAGACGTCGCCCGACTATACCTGCGAAACATATGGAAGCTCCACGGGCTACCCACACACGTCACCTC